ACCACCATCACCATCACCAGCATCCTCACAATCACTCAAACCATCAGCATCATCAGACACACCGTCGTGGCCGTCGTCATCATCGTCACCATCACCAATAGCAGAATCATCATCCGAATCATCTTCATCATGCTCATCATGATACTCATCGACATCGCCACCACCACAACCACCATCCTCATCAACGCCATCATCATCACCAGCGTCACCATTGTCATCGCCGCTAGCAACATCATCATCATCATCAGCATCATTATCACCATTCCCACCAGCACCCCCGTCATCACTATCGTCGACATCGCCATCATCGCAATCACCCCCATCACCACCATCATCATCATCAGCATCATTAGCATCATCACTATCAGCATCGTCATCCGCATCCACATAATCATCATCGTCGCCACCGTCGGCACCACCATCGTCATTATGAACATTATCACCAACACCACCGTCATCACCACCATTACCAGCATCAGCAGCAGCAGCATCGTCATCAGAAGCAGCAGCATCAACATCAGCGTCTGCATCAACACTATCACCACAACAACCATCAGATTCACTATCATCATACGCTCCATCATCATCATCATCACCATCGTAATCATCAGAATCAGAATCCGCATCAGCATCATCATCACTACCACAATCACCACGATCATCATCATCGTTCGTTTCCTTTGGGCCTGTAATGCCTGGGACAAGTCGCTCCTGTCTCACTCGCAGGTGCTCCGAACGCGGCTGGGTGCAGCAACACTCGCCGCAGTGCACTGGCGCTGCACACCAACGTGGTCGGCTCTCCGCCCGCGCCCACGTAGACGTGGATTGTTCCTGTCAACACCCACGCGACCATAAATCCGCCGACCCTGTCGGCGTGTGTGAAGAGCTTGTCCGTTCGATTCAACGTCTCGGTCATTCGTTAGCCGTCGTCTCTGTCGCCCCCTTTCCCTGCGGCTCCCATTCCCTGGGCCCGTCGCCGCTCCCCCCTTTTCCTGGGCCCTCCTCCTCAGGCGCGCCAGTCAAAGCAAAATCGAGCAACGTCGTCATTCAGTCGAAGGGAAGACCCTTCCCTTTGATCCCTCTTCAGTCGGGAGGGGGGGGGCGTCCCTTGGGGGGTGGTCTCGGGGGGGTCCCGGGAGGGGTCGCCACCTAGATACACTCCCCCTTTGGGGGTCCAGGGTCCCCCCAAAAAAAACCAGGCCAAGAGTGCCCGAAGTGGTCCCAAGCGCGTGTCTGCGCATGTCTGCGCGTGACTGCGCGTGACTGCGGGCGTCTGCGCGCGTCTGCGCGCGTCTGCGCGTGTCTGCGCGTGTCTGCGAGCGTCTGCGCGTCTGCGTGTCTCGTCGTCTGCATGTCTGCGTGTCTACGTGTCTGTGTGTTTGTCTGCGTGTCTGTGTGTCTGTGTGTCCGTGTGTCTGTGTGTCTGTGTGTCTGTGTGTGCCTGTGTCTTTGCGTGTGCGTGTGTCTGTGTCGCTTTGTGCCTGCGTGTATGTGTCTGTGAAAATGTGTCTGTGTCGGTGTGTCTGGGTGTCTGTATGTCTGTGTGTGTATGTATGTCTGTGTGGCTGTGTGTCTGCGTGTCTGTGGGTCTCTTTGTCTGTGTGTCGGTGTGTCGGTGTGTCCGTGTGCGCGTGTCTACGCGTGTGCGTAAGCGCGTGCGCATGCATGTTTGAGTGTGTGCGTGCGTGCGTGCGCGCGTGCGTGCGCGCGCGCGTGCGTGCGTGCGTGCGTGCGTGTGCGCGTGCGTGCGCGCGCGCGTGCGTGCGTGCGCGCGCGCGTACGTACATGCGCGCGCGAGGGCGTGGGTGCGTGCGTGCGTGTGCGCGCGCGCGTGCGTGCGTGTGTCTGCAGCCTCTGGATCAAGCCGCCCGGGCCCGGGACATCCCCCCTCCCTCAACGGCTCGGCCCCGGGCCCCAGAGGCGGGCCCCCCCCCGGGCCGAGCGCCCCGCCTCCGCCGAGGGGCCCCCCCCGCGGCCCCTCGCGCGCAGGCTGGGCCGCCGGCCCCCTCCCGCGCGGGCCTCGGCTCGCCACTTTTGGGGGCTGTCGCCGTCGGGGTCCAGAGTCTGAAGACTGCAGCCGGACTTGATTGGACCGGACGCGCGAGAGGACACGAGACCCTCCAGAGTGCCACGCAGCCCTAGGAATAATGCAGGAGGCGCGGGCCGCGAGACACCGGTCGCCAGAGGGCACCCTCGACTTGGCAGGGTCGGCCTGCGAATCAGGGCCGACTGCATGGACACCGACAGGGTCGGCAGTGGGCGTCTCCCTGCAGGGGCCTCCGAGGAGGCCCCGGGGGCTCAGGGGCGTCGGCCCACGGCGGGCCTCGGCCCTCCCGGCCTCCCTTTCCGGGGCCCAGCCGAGCCCGACGCCCTGACCACCTGCGCTGGCCACCGACGCGGCGAGACCCCGGGAGTGGGGCCCGCGCCGAGCCAGGACGAGGTGGATGCTGCTCTTACTACAGTCGGGGCACTGAGGAAGGAACCCTTTTCGTTGGGGAGGGGCTCGGTGTTCCTTGGTTGTTTTGCAGTTCGCCTTTTGTTTTGCTCAGGGTTTCGATGGGAAATCGAAGTGAAACTTATGGGAAAACGAGGCCTCGTTCCTGATTTAGGGCTCCTTAGGTCAACGCCCCTTCTGTGTGTGCCTGTCTGCCCCCACGGACCTTCTGCCGAGAAGTCACTGGAGGAGGAGGAGGAGGAGGAGGAGGAGGAGGAGGAGGAGGAGGAAGAGGGGGAGGAGGAGGAGGACGAGGAGGAGGAGGGAGGGAGGAGGAGGAGGGGAGGAGGAGGAGGAGGGGAGGAGGAGGAGGAGGAGGAGGGAGGACGGAGGAGGAGGACGAGGAGGAGGAGGAGGAGGAGGAGGAGGGGAGGAGGAAGAGGACGAGGAGGAGGAGGAGGAGGGAGGAGGAAGAGGAGGAGGAGAAGGAGGAGGAGGAGGAGGCGAGGAGGAGGAGGAGGAGGAGGAGGAGGAGGAGGAGGAGGAGGAGGAAGAGAAAAGTCACTGGGCCTCTGGCGCTGGCCACCCCTCGTGGGCCGAGCCAGGACACCACCGCGAGCAGGGGCGGGCGCTGCCACCGCGACGCTCCACCTCCGGCCCCGGCCGTGCCGACTGCCTACTCCAGACCCTCCAAGACAAGCCACTTCAGACCCCCCCCCCGTGGGAGAACCCTCCAAAACATCGTCCCCAGACCCCCCCAGGCCCTCCAAGATAGCCTGGAAGAGACCCCCCCCGAAATGAGACCCCCCTCCCTTTCTTACGAAATCTGGAGTACCAGACCACCCCAACCCGAGCCGAGTTCCAGAACTTCAGGTGGGGGGGGGCGTACGCTTTCCGTCCGTGTTTCCCATATTTATGGAATGCCCCCCACCTGGGAATTGAGGATACGTTGGGGCCCTCGGGCCATGCCGACTGCCTACCAGAACACCCCAACCCGAGCCGAATTCCGGAACTTCAGGTGGGGGGGGGGCGTACGTTTTCCGTCCGTGTTTCCCATACTTATGGAATGCCCCCCACCTGGGAATTGAGGATACGTTGGGGCCCTCGGGCCGGGTGGGGGTGTTTTGGGAGGGAGGTGACCTCTTTCACGCTCCAGTCTGCTCTCGCACGAGCTCCTGCACTCGCGGTGGGGTGAAGGGGGGCACCGCTCTGAGCGGCCCCTGGGGGCCAGCACCCGAAGGAGGCGGGGCCCAGAGGGCAGCGGGCCCCGGACCCCGGAGCGCTCCCCCGCGGACCAACGTCTTCCTCCCGAGTCGTTCTCCGACGAGGTCCCGCGGCTGGACGCAGGAGCGACCCTGGGCAAGAGCGGCCTCTGGTGCGCGGCTTCAGGGAGGAGGAGGGGGAGGAGGAGGAGGAGGAGGAGGAGGAGGAGGAGGAGGAGGAGGAGGAGGAGGAGGAGGAGGAGCAGGAGGAGGAGGGGGAGGAGGGGGAGGGGGGGGGGCTGGGGGGCCGAACCCGGGCGCGGAAGACGCTGCTATCGCATCGCACTCAGCCATCTGGGGACCCCAACGTGCCCGCACCAGAGGTCACTCTGGTGAAAGGTAAGGTCACTCTTACGTGTAGAAGAGTCGCGGGGGCCCGTGCAGGACCCTGGGCAAGCCAAAGCCAGCGAAAAGCCTCGGGTCCATTTCCCTCAGGACCCCCTGTCCTCCATGGCGAACATCGCCTTCAACAGCCCCTGAGGGCAGGAAATGTGGCCACTCAGCGGGGCTCGTTCCCCAGCCCCGCCCTGGGATGACACCCCCCTCTCCGAGACCCCCGAGCTGGAGGCCCCACCTGGCGCAACCCCTCTCCACGGGAGAGCGGCCGCTGGTGCCCCCATGAGTCAGTCCCCGTGCAGGGGTCGGTGTGCAGGGCGCCGGCTCTCGGCCAGAGAACGCCCAGGCGGACTGGCCCACTCGCGTCCTTCCCTGAAATCCTGGCGTCCCAATGTTTCGAGCCGGGGTTTCGCCAGTGTCAGGCCCAGAGACCCTCACGGATCGGTCCAGCTCGAAAGATGCAGCACAAAGGTGGGGCCTGGGGCTCCAGGAATCTCGAAGTTTGCTCCCCTCATGCTCGCCTTGGCGGCGCCCCGAAGGGCGAAGTGAGAGGGGGCAGGCCATCTGAAAGGCGGCAGGGCTTCTCAGAAGCCCTCTGGCCTTCTGAGAAGCCCCCTGCGGCTTCGGAGAAAACAAGCTTCTCAGGAGGCCAGACGGCCTTCTGAGCCCTCTGAGAAGGCCCATCCCCCTCTGCCTCCCCCCTGGGCGCAGAGCCGATCCTCCTGATCCTCCTCTAGGTCCTCCTCATGCCACCCATCGTTTTCCCCCCGCGCCCTTATCCACTCAGCCACCTAATGATCGTACTACTACTCACTCCTACTACGACTGCTCCGTCGGACTGCCTGGCTCTGGCCTCTGCGTCTCCTTCTAGTTCTCCTCACACTCATCCTCCTGCCGCTCCAAATGCTCCTCCTCCTCCTCCTCCTCCACCTCGTGCTCCTCATCCCCAGCTCATCCTGCTGCTATGTCGAGATCGTCGAGGGGGCAAGCCTCCTCGGGTGGCGCTGTACTCGGACGGGCGCATGCCAGCCTTTTCGGGAGCATGCATATCGCTCTGCAGAAGCACGATGCCTTTTCAACGCAATGCGCGTCGCATGTTCCACTGTACCCTGCTCGGCGAGGCAGCACGATTGTCGCTACCACGCGTATCCAAAAAACAGGCCTGCCTAGGAGGAGCTCGAGCTCTGCTGGAACGACGGCTTCAAAGGTTTCCAGTTGACGCTACAGAAATGCAAAGCCGCCTCTCCTTCCCGTTTGGGTACGCACTCCAACATGACCCCCTTTCCGACGCATGCCAGTGACAGCCATTCGAGCCTTCCGTTAAAGCCTCTGGGATTCCCTTCGATAGAATTGCGCAGATCCCCTCGACCCAGAGGCGGTGTTGGGGCGCGCCAGCAACAGGTGCGTCGTTCTATAAGCTCCTGATATAATGGTCCGACCGTTTTTCACACGCTTCTGCCAAAGCGCTCGCACATCCAAAACCCCTGCGACGCTCACCAGGCGAACGTCGATATCATTCAAGCAAAATCCCTGCGAGCTGTCATGATGCGAGCGTTCCTTGCTCGAACAAGCTCGCAAGTGGCAATCCTCAACCTCCCTCACGACAGACATCGCTCCACAAAGCCTGTGACTTCTGACACACGGCCTCTCTGGCCAACTCCCATGGAAAAATCCTCTAGATGGTCTTCAGGGCCAGCTCGTACGGGTGGTTTGTGTGCCAGGCTCCCACGGCCGAAGATTCAAACCAACGGCAGGTTCGCTGTTCGCACGACTTAATCTTACCCGAGATTCCAACGATAAGTGTCCACAGCCAGTTTTATATATAGCCAGTCTCCACAGCATGCCACCCTGCAAGACTTGCACAGCGTGTTTGCGATTCATATGGCCAACTCCTCCTACAGCCGACTCCTGTTTGTCTGCTCGCTTCCTTCGTTGCAGGGCTGGCTCTACTCGACGACTCCCCTGGCTGGCTCCTGTAGCCGCTTCTCACAAGCAGTTCCAATGGTTGGCTGCTACGGCCGATTCTCATGACGAGGTCACACGACTGGTTCATGTGGTTGGCTCCTCTGGACCGTGCTGGTTGCTTGCATCGCTACTTACCATGGATGGTTTCTACGGAAGCTCCTGCGGTCAAGTATCACGCTGATTCCTTCGTTGCTTGCACGATGAGAAGCCTACAAATGGGCGCCACTACCAAGATCGGGAGTCAAGTCAATCGATCGGGGCTGACCCACGATCTCTGTGCTGCTGGTGATACTTAACCTACTGAGGTGCGCAATGCACTACCACTACAATCAAGATCGGGAGTCGTCTTTCCTCGGTCGAGGTGACCACCGATCTTGGTGGGTGGTGTCATCTTGGAGGCTTCTGGCACGACCCAGTTTTGGTGGTCGCCGAACCCGAAAATGGTCCACAGACGCAAACTGCAAACAAAACAACAACAACGGGATTGATGAAAAATCAACGCGCACGAAGTCCCGGAGGAGGAATCGGAGAAAGAACGCACGTTAGGGGAAGTGCCCTGACCAATGCCGGTGCGAAATGCCGCCGCTGCTGCCGATGCCAGCGCCTGCGCGAGCGCGTCACGAGCGAGCGCCCGGCTGATCTGACCTGGTTCGCGCCATACTCTCAGGCCTTCTCTGCGGCCTTGTCGTCGGCGGCCTTCTTCCCCGCAGCGGCCTGGGCGGGCCCTGCCCTGCTCCTTGCTCGCCCCCGTACTAGCCTGCCCGCGGGAAACGGCACGAACGTCACGAAAGATTACAGCTGTGCACGTCGAATAGATGGCAAAACTACACGCATCGAGGAAGCCATGATGGAGTGTCGTGCAATCACATATGTGAGCTCCCGTGACGCTTTCTACAGCCATCGCGCCATCTTGCACAATACGCTTTCTACAGCCAGGCATGTGCACCAGCAGGTCGCAAATACCAACGCCGAACTACCACGCTCCAGGCACCTGCTCAGGATCACCGAAAAAGCTTGACTGCTCTTGGCCCTCCTGACCGTCAGCGGGGCAACTGCAAGCCCTCAAGTTTAGCCGCCCGCCTCCGGCTCTTTCAGCATCTTCTCTGGCTCCTCCTTGCTCTCAGGCTTCTTGCCCTGGTTCATTCCCTCCTGCAAACGAGCAGAGACGAGGAAAAGGGCGAGAGTGGAGTCCGAAGGAACGTGGATCTGGGAGCGATCCGCGTGATGGGTCTGCCGAATAGTGCGCGGCCCCGAATGCGAAAGCCTTCACTGGTGTAACAGATTGAGCTCCGAATGGAGGCACGATCCGCGTGAAGGGCGTGCCAGCATGGGCCCACATGCGCAAACCCCCAAACTGGAGCCATAGATAGAGATTCCTAAGCGGCACAACCCGCGTGACGGGCGTGCCGAATTGTTTGCGGGCCCGCACGCGCACACATACAATGTTCCATCCAGTGGGCTCCCACACGATAGGGTCACACACGATATAGCCCTCATAGATTGTACCGCTCTTTTTGCACCGCGTAGCGTCTCCTTTCAGGAAAAGTATAAACTCTACCACCTTCCCGGCGGCGCCGTCGCGTGTTGGAATTATTAAATCCTTCTGCCCCATCGCTCATACCCCATCCCCCATACGAATCCAGACCATCCCAGCCAAAACAAGTATCGACCCCCTATCCCTCGCCCATACTAAGTTATACCATGCGCGCACACTCGTTCAGAATCACACATGATTTTTAGATCTCTCTTGGCAGACAATGGCAACCAAGTCCACATGCGCGCTCCCATGTTGAAATCACACCCAACACATTACTGCTGCAAGGACATCAACGCTCACACATAGAAACCGACTGATTGTTCAAATGAGCGCACACATGTTCTGCCCGCGCGCAGGTGCTGAGAGCCATGGACAGAGTGGATCAAAAGGCCACGCACGAAGTACAACACCTGTTGGAGCGCTTAAAAATCGACAACTGGATCACTACACAAAGCCGGAGAAAGTAGAGGTGGGCAGCAAAGGCCTCTGCTGAATGTCATGAATGGGCCTAGAAAGCTTTGTTCAGGGAGCCCGACCTACACGCAGAAACCCAACAACCAGCTCGCAGACAAGCAAGACTAAAAAGACGATGGATCGATGATGTACGCCAGCATGTGCACATACGTTTGGGCCTTGCTGATGATACCAATACCTGAGCCGACTTGGCCATGACGCCAACGTAGAGTAAGCTGGAGCATAGTTTTGCAGATTCTACGAAGACGTGCTGGCCATCTGTCTCTCCATCCTGTAGTAGATTGCTTGCTTGCGGGCGCTCCGGCCCCGACTCGCTCGATCCCCTCGCGCGGACACTCGTGCGGGCACCGTTCACCGTTCAAAACAAGAAATCCATGCGGGTTCAGCAATATCGTCCAGACCCGAATTCTCATGTCACCACGTGGTACATCCGCGTTGATCTAACCTGCGCCGTCTGCACGAATCCGTAACAATATTTTCCACTATGGCCACATGTGTGCGACACCACGCGCGCGTCGAAATCCGTCCAAGACAATTTGTGCTCGAGACTGTTCAACAGGTCGCGCTTCAAAACCGTATGACAAGTATGTGTTTCAACAAAAGTCTGCCGAGCGTCGTGTATGTATGCGCGTACACTTCCTCATCGCCCCCGTCTCCGCCATCGCATGAATCATTGCCGCCATCATCATCATCATCATCATCATCATCATCATCATCATCATCATCATCATCATCATCATCATCATCATCATCGCAATCACCTGAATTACCGACACATGGATATCATCATCGGCATCGACGTCACCACCATCGGCACCGTCATTGGCCTTGCTGTCGTTGTCGTCGTCATGACCATCACCATCGTTATGATCATCCTCAATGCCATCGTTGCCGACGTCATTATGATATCGGGCCCGCTCGAATCCTCGGCCAGCACTGAAAGGTCCGCGCGCCACCAGGGCCTTGAAACGCGCTGAGAAATCCTCATCAGCAAGCGGCATCGCGACCGCGTCTGTTATACCAAACCAGCTGCCCGATCTGCGCGCGAGCGTGCGCGCGCCATTGCGGCCGCAGAGACTCGCTCGCAAGCTTCAATCAATAACCGCGATCGTGCCCAAATTGGTTTTGCCAAACAAGTTGCGAGTGGGAGGGTGAGATGTTTGCGCGAATAATGGAGTTGACGATTTCAAAATTTTCGCTATCAATAGCGCCCCGTAGATTGTTTAACTTGAACTTGCAATAAAAACTCCACCACCTCCCGAGGCCAGATGTCTCCACACTCCTTTTCTTAACGGGCGAAAAACAGTGTAAAATCAACTTTTTCGCTGTCGGGGGCGCCTGCCCCAGGGCGGCTGGAAAGTTTATACCCTTACGGTGGCACCGTAGGGGTATAAACTTTCCAGCCGCCCAGGGGCAGGTGTCCCCGACGGCGAAAAAGTTTATGTTATACCGTTCTTCGCTCGCTGATTTTCGCAGTGCAATGTATATAAATATCTGCCTCATCATGCATGTTCCTCATGAGAGCACACCATCCCATATTTTTGCCCTGCCATGGACGAGCTGCGCAATGAGACTGTACCTGCCAAAGCCTTACACAACCTAGAAGCCCGCTGTATCAAATTATGTTCGATCGCGGGATCTTTGGGCATCTCAGATCGTTCTGGCCCCTACCCCTTAAGGCCAATCGGCGGGCCCCTCTTTGTCTACTGATGAAGAGGACTCCTCGGAGGATTTGGACAGCGGGCAAGCTCACTGGAAGGTACCCGCGTCCTCGCCCGCGCGAAGGGCTGGAGATGTTCCTGCGCCACCGCCCTCGGCAGATCTGGGCGCGTCGCGCACCGCTTGACCGAGGGGCGCAAGGCGGAAGCCCCGCCGGGCGCGCAGCCCGGGGGCGAAGCGGGCCTCGGCCAGATGGGCTCAGCGGCCGCGGAGGCGATCCTCGACGAGCGGCTGGCGATCTGGGACAAGCCGTCGCGGTCGTCGGAGCCTCCAGCTGAAGAATGGGAGGACCCCGTCTCCCTGCCCCCCATCACCGTCGACCAGGTGCTGGAGGTGGCCAGGAGGCCCCCGAAGGTCACAGGCCTCGGGAGGGACCATATCAACCTGAGGGGCCCGCTGCTCTTGAATGCGAAGCTGCAGCAAGCCTTCGTCAACTAGTTGAATTTCTTGGAGGCGCACCCCAGCACCCCCAGCCTTTCGCCAACCATGATGGTCTTTTTGCCGAAGCCGCCGCCCCAGTTGGGCCCCCGCCCGATTGGGCCCCTCTGCATGCGGGGCCGCGTCTCAAGCTGGGCGCGCCAGCAGTAGGTCAAGAAGCGGGAGCTGGCCACCGACTAGCGCCTCTTCTGGGGCAAGAGCTCGGACACGGCGGCGGATCGCGCAGCGCGCGTCCGCCACTTGCCGGTGCCGCATGCCCGCAGGCGGGACACGAGCAACGGCTGTCTTTTTCAGCATTTCTCGGCTTTACGAGAACGCGTCGCACGGAGCGCTCAAGGGGTGCGCCCGGCACGTTGGCTTCAATGCTGGCCTCCTCCGCCCCCTCCGCCCCCTCCACCGCGGGCCGCCACTCCTCGCCCCACCCCCACCCCAACGGCACAACCGTTGCAGGATGTTCTCGCGCAACAGGGGTCGCCAAGCAGCTGACCCTTTGCGTTTTAAAAGAAGCGGCCGCCCAGGCCCCTGTTTGCCGCTCGGCCAACGTCGTCGCGACCCCCAGCTGCCCGCGGTTGGCGGCGCCAGAACGGCGGCCGAGCAGCTTGCGCGGGCGGCCAGGTTGATGATGGATGCCCTGCAGCAGCTGGTGCCCCCAATCAACGTCAGCAAGACGCGTTGGATGCTGTCGGATAACCAGCTGTTGGACGCTCTTGTGGGGGGCCCTTTCTGGCCGCTTGGGCTTAAGCTTTTATCCGACCTTCACCAGGACGTGGGCGGAGATGCAGGTGGCGGCAGCCATCGCCGCCTGCCCATTCAGCGTTCAAAGGTAACCAGTGCTCTCGCCTCCTCCGCTCGCCTTCGCAACCTCGGCCAGGGGCGCGAAGCCTTGCGAGTTTTTTCGGGCTAGCCCCGCTGCGAGGGCGGCGCGGGGCGCAGCCATCCAAGGGCTCTGGCACGTCGCTTCGCGCTCTTCGCGTCGCGGCGGCCAGGAGCACATGGGCCCGCGTAACCAGGCTCGTCGTTAGGCTTCACTCTTTTGCTCAGCGCCCAGTGGAGCAGTGACCCCATCGGTGCACACAGTTTCGGCGGCCATGCGCTTTGCGTCAGTCTGGCGGCACTAATCTGTCTCGAGAGAAGCGTTGCAAAGCGCCTTCGCCGATGCCATTGCCGTTTCCAGCAACGAATGCCCATGGGGCGCGGTCAAGCAGCCAGTGTCCGCCCTACTCCTCACCCTTCGGCGGATTGGATGGGACCTCGACGTTGCTAGGGGTGCCATCGCCAGCAAAGGTGGTCGCTCAACCGCCTCTCGCCGGAGTCTTTTGCGTCGCACTGCAAGCGGGGTTGCTGGGACGCCGTGGTGGCCGATGAAACGGGTCGTCAGTCGTCTGCCGGCGAATGGTCAGGCCACATCTGCCCCCCCCCCGCCCTCGGCTTGCTTTCTGGAAAAAGCCACGGATGGATGGACCAGCCACCACAGAAATATGCTTCGGGGACTCCTGGCCAAACGTTACCGGCGCCAAGGGCGCTTCGCGGCGAAGTGCGAAGAGATTCGCCCGGAATCCCTACACTGCGGCGCCACAGGCAGCCTGTTCCACCGTGGGTTCGACTGCCCACGTTTGGCGGCTTGGCTTCGAGACGAGATCTCCCCCGTCGTCTCCAGGGCGGCGGAATGCGCGGCCCGTCTCGGTCCCAGGGCCCAAGAGTTTTTCGCCAAGAGGGCTGTTCCCCGACCTGGCGCCAAGGTTCCCTCGCAGTGCCCCCGACCCCTCCTCGTGCCACCTCCACAGGTATACTTGGCTCCAAGGTGGATTCTTGGGGCCCGAGGCCCACGTATTCACCGACGGGTAAGCCGTCGAAGGCTCGATTCTGCAATGGGGGGGGGGGGGGGTGATCGCGGACGGAGATGGGAATGTGCTCAGCGTGCTCTGGGGAGGGGGGCCGCTGGATGGGGCCCCAATCCAGGTGGCGAGAGACGGCGAAGATTACGCCGTCTTTCAACTCGCCCGCTACGCCGTGCTTGCGGAAAGGTGCCAGATGCATATCGATTGCGCCGGCACCGCAGCCTGCGCGTCGGACCCTCGGGCCGCCTCGAGCCCGCGCAACCATCGGGCCCAGCGGCGGGCGCAGGTCCACGACAAGCTGGACGGCATGGTTGTCCATAAAGTGCCCGCCCACTGCAGCGCCACTGATGTGGTGGACGGGCTGCCGACTCGCGCTCAGCGGCTCGGCAACAAGGCGGCTGACAGTCATGCCCGTTGCGGGGCCGAGCTGCACCGCAGCTCGGAGCAGGATCGTCTCGCGATCCACGACTGCCACGAGGTGGCCAGGGAAGCATCGATTTCCTCGGAGCGGCAGGAGGCCTTCATTGCCGACGAGAGGTCGTTCGACCGCGTCCCCCTCTCTTGACCCCAGCACGTGGACCTTGGAGAGTTCACCCCAGCGGAGGCCGACGGCCCGGGCCGCCCCCTGCGGGCGCGCGGTGGCCCCTCGGACGTGGGCAGCATGGCCGCCCCTGATTGCGGCGAGGCATCCGGCGCCTTGAAGGGCACCAGGCCGCGGCACGCTCGCGGCGACTCGTGCCTCGAAGCGCCGATCGAAAGCTCCGATGGCGCTCCGGGCGAATCTTTAACGATCTGCACCACGTGCGGGGCCGTCGGCCACCCTGGAGCGAGGTGGGGCCGCAGCGCTCTCGCGTCGGATGGCCCCATGGCGCCCGCACGGGCGGCCGTGAGCGGCAGTTGGCTTGGAACTTGCGCGGGGAGCACCCATCACGTCGCGATGGGCGCGTCTGCCCGGCGGCCTCCCTCTCGGACTCGAATAGGGAACTCATGGCCACCAAGCTTGGGCTCCCAGAGGTTCCTCCTCTCGGCCCAGCCCATCCCCTCGCATCGGCAGGTCGGCATGACCTTGTCCGAGGCCTCGCCCTGGTTGGCTTCTCCTCCCGCGCCGAGGCCGTGAGCCTAGGGGCGCGGGCGCTTGAAAAGAGGAAGCGAAAGGGCCTCTCGGACGGTTTTGACGACGTGGAAGAAGGGTGGGTTTCGTTGCTGTTTGATGCATGGTTTAATTGGTTTGCAGACTCTGCCGGTGGCGGTGCTCCACCTCCCTTCCGAGGCGGAAGGGGAGGCGCAGGAGCGGGAGGGAGGGGCAAAAGTGGAGCCACTGTCGGTCGAAGAGCGTAAAAGTCCACGAAGCGGAGAGGCCCTCCGCAACGATGGCACCGCCGCGAGGCGACAGCAGGGCTGGCTCCGCACGCGCAGCCGTCCTTCACGCGAACGAGTGTCCCTCTGACGCCCACGGGCTTGTGAGAGAACGGGAAGGAGGAGCAGCAGGCACAGTCGTGAGCGTTGGAGGGACTGCAAGCTTCTCAGTGGCCAAGGCCCGGGAACCGCGCTTTGCCACTAATCTCCGAGGCGCCATGAGGATGCAGGGCGTGGGCTTCTCAGGGCCCCACAGCTGTCTCACAATTCTAGCCAATTTGGCCTCAGAAAAGAGCGTTGAGCCAAGCGCACGTGATGTCCCCTGGCACAGAAATACAAGCACGAGCCCCTGGGACCCTTCTTAAGCCTCGCTTAACCGATCCCCATGCCAAGCGGCGTGGCCTGGGCCCCACTGGCCGATTTACCCCCCTAGATGGGCATAAAGGTCGTTCCCTTCAGATTTCAAGGGGCGTATCCCCAACTGGGGTGGTAGTTTGGTGGGGGTCACGAAGGGGATGGGGATGGGGATGGGGATCGGCTAAACGATACCGAATTCTTGAGGCCCCCGATGCACAGCAGCGGGAACGGCAACGGGCGACCAGCGCATGACATGGGTCCCACGCCTGAGTCCGCAGGGCCTAGTTGCTTGCACGAGGGGGCGCCCCCGTGCTGTTCTGCCACTGGATCCTGTCCGCGGTCCTGGCGATCGTCGTCCAGGACTGTGCCAACGGTGGTACCAGGTCGGGACGTGGCAGCTTGGGGGGCCAACCGGCGGGGGTCGGGAACTTCGCTGACGGGTGGCGGGACGCTGGCGGTATTGGGAATCTCCGAGCCCCAGGCCTCGCTGGCGGTAGCCAGTGAGGGGGGCGCCTGGCCAATGGCAGCCCGTTGCCAGAAGGAATTCGCCAAGTACGATGCTGTCGTGTCCACCTGGATCGGATCCGACCCTGGGCGTCTCCGCTGCAACTTGAGCCCCCCACTGAGTGCCGAAGCCTTTCTCGTGAACTAGGTACCTCACTGCATCAGCTGACGGTCCAAGCTCCTCGTCCCAGGTAAGTTGTCACAGGAATATAGTCGTCTGGCACGGCGCGTCCCTGCAGGGCACCCAGGACATTGTCGCATTCCAACTGCGTCCAGGCCTTGGGATCGAGGGTGCAGTGGCGTAGTACTGGGGTCCAGTCGGCGGCGCCTCATCCTCCATCCAACTGGAGCCACGACAGGGCCAGGTCGTAATAAAAGCTGCGCACGTGGCCCGCGTCCGCCTGCTGGAGGGACACGCCAGGGCGCAGGTAGCCCTCGGAGATCATGTTACTTAGACGGGTCCCTGGACACCAAGGCGGGCCCCCAGGGTCGGCAAGGCCCTGTCCAGTTCTGCGTCGCCGGCGAGCGTCCGCGACGAGTGGTCGGAGCGTCCGGTCGTCGGCACGTCCTGTTCACCGCGGTGCTCCACCAGGGAAGCCAGGGGAGGACGGGGCGAATCCGCTCCTCCTCCTCCTCCTCCTCCTCCTCCTCCTCCTCCTCCTCCTCCTCCTGCACCCGCGTAGCCGCTGTTATCCGATCGCCCTTGCGAGCTCTTTGTAGTCGCTGCTGGCGGACGAGCAGAGGGTGCGAGAATCTGCACGCTGTGGGCTGGGCACAGTAGTCGGCCCACGCCGCCCCTGCGTCCTGCGTCGTGGTGCGCCATTTCCGACGGGGTATCAATACACTGGTGAACATCCCCCAGGACTGGCAGAGGTGGGGCCCCTCTCTCAAGGCTTGGGGGTCGCTTCCCGCCAGGGGGAGGGGGGGCAGGCCGTGGTGGAAACTGCGACCCTCCCCTCCCTTGGGGAGCCCCGTCCCGCCGTGGTTCACCCCCCCATGGGGTCGCAGGCTGGTGGTTGTTCTGGCGCCGCATTTGCGCCGAGGGTGAATGAACGTCCACCGTTTGTTCTGCTGATAGCCTCTGGAGGCTCACGTGCCTTGCGAGCGTCAATCGCTTGTCTTGTGGATGGCCTGTGGAGCCTGGTGTGTGTGTGTGTCTTGCGTACCTCTCTCCTATTTTGGTGTGGCCTCTGGAGCCTGACTTGTGCCTTGTCTTGACAGTCCTTCCCCTCGGCTGCGCGCGATTGAGGTGGGGATAAGCCCGCTGCAAAGGCGGCTTCGACCGTCGCGCCCGGATGGGCTCGGCGCTCACCCGGCAGAAAGGGCTTGGCCCCTTCCTGCTTGCACCCTCCTCCGCCCTCCCCCTCCTCCTCCCCTCCTCCTCCCTCCTCCCTCCTCCTCCTCCTCCCTCCTCCCTCCTCCCTCCTCCCTCCTCCCCCTCCTCCTCCTCCCTTCCTTCTTGGACCCTCCCCCTTCTCCTCCCTCCCCCTCCTGCGATACACGCAAGCGCGCAGGGAGTCCGACTGTCCTGGAAGGCGTCCGGCACGTCCTTCAAGTCAGACGCGGCCTGACCGAGCAAGAGGATGACAAGCGGAGAAGAGAGAACGACAACTCGCAAGCAGCGCAAAAGCGGCTGGGCATCGATCTGTGGAGGATCCGAAGGCCTCCAGGCTGATAGCCCACGAGTCTCGGCTGCGCGCTGGAAGATACAAACACGACAAGGCTCACGTGTCCTGCTTATCCGCGCAGCGCACCCGGGACATCGCATGGCCGGCATCGCTCGCGTGGTGTTTCTTAGGGGTTCGCGGTTGAGGCATTTTCCCCAGTGGAGCCAGACTCGAACGCGGACCCAGGGGGTATCACAGCACATCTGTTTCTCGGCGGCGAGGCAGAAGCGCTGCTCCAGCGGGAGAGGGCGATCGGGGCAGCCGATACGCCAAGGGGTACCACAACGCATCCTGGAAGGCAGCTCAGGGAAAGAGCAACGCAAATGTAGGCGGGTGCCCGCTGGCCCCCCTGTGTGGGGGGGTGGCATCAGGCTGCCAGGCAGGGGGTTTGGCAACTGAGCAGCCTTGTTCTCGTCAGAAGTTCGCAGCACATCACTGCCCATGGGAGCTCAGCAGCTGGCCAACCGACTTGTTCTAGCCACCATCCCTCAGAGCACCAAACAACTCAGCTTCTCAGAAGGTAGGGTTCAATATTGATCCGAGCGAGGAGACCACCCTCTGTTAGCAGTGTAGCATCGTATCCGTCCCATGTGGTTCCTCACCCATACGGCGTTACGTGTCGTTTCGGTATCACAGGGCGGCCTTCCATATGACGCTATGCCCTATTTCGGTGTCACAGGGCGGGCGAGCGCTTAGTTCACATGTGTTCACTGAACTGCGCGGCTGGTGAAGCTATATCTTTGCTGCAGTCTGAGACTGTTCGCGTGTTGCGGATACCACGACGTCGACATCAAAACAACATTGTATAACATCATCGCGTGATGTCTGGCAGACTTGGAAAGGGGATGGCCGACTACGAAACTGCAGTTTTTACGCCAGCATGCAGACGTCACCACTGGGGCCGCAGGTGGAACACTGGAGCGTGATCCGCGTGCAGTGTATGCCGAATTGGGGATAAGTCCGCGAGTGGACGGCACCACTGGGGTCTTAGATGGAGCTCTCTCTCTGGGGGGGTAGGCGGGGGAGGGCACGATCCGCGCGAGGGGTGCGCAGCCTTGGGCGGTGGGCCCGCGCGCGGGCTTCACCTCTGGGGCGGAAAGCAGACTGCCGGGGCTGCACGCGGAGCTCCCCAGGGGGGGCAGGGCACGTGTGAGGCCGCCCCGGGCGGAGGGGCCCCCGCGGGCGGAGGCTCCGACGGGAGGCCCCCAGGAGCTCCCCGTGCGGGCACGAGCCTGCCGCTTGCGGGGCGTGCCGAAGCGGGCGGCGGGCCCGCACGCGAGCACCCCACGCGCGGGCCGCAGGTGGGGCCCTCCGTGAGTCGACAAGCGCGTTCCCCTGCTCGCAAAGTCGCTGCTCGCAGACGGCCTGGATCTGCCGCAGAGCGTGCACGATGAATTGCACCGAGGCAGACATAATGGCTTCTCGGACGCTTTTGCGAACGGGCACGTTACGAGTATAGCGGAACGCGCTCGGCGAGTGGGAGAACGGTCTGTGTGGGGGAGGAGGAGGAGGAGGGGGAGGGGGAGGAGGAGGAGGAGGAGGAGGAGGAGGAGGAGGAGGAGGAGGAGGAGGAGGAGGAGGAGGAGGAGGGGGAGGAGGATAGTGGCGTCGGTGGGCCTGCCTGCGGGCGCCGGCGCCCCCCACTGGGGCCTCCCAGGCGGAGCGCCCCAGGAGTGCAGACGAGCCGCGCGGGGGGGGTGCCGAGCTGGGCCGTGGGCCCGCGTGCGAGCACACCCACGGAGGCCACAGGCGGAGACCCCTGTTGAGAGGGGGGGGGAGGCACGATGCGCGTGAGGGGTGCGCCGCCGAACTGGGTGAGGTTGTGCACCCGCTGCTGCCGTAGGTGGGGGGGTCACGCTCCAAGCGAGGGATGTGCCAAGCTAGGCGATGCTAAGTTGCCAGTTCACAGTCAACGTTTTCCTGCATCCAGGTCGAGGAGTATCAACACGATGGTGCCTCTCCGTTCAGAGTAACCATGACAAGCTTTGGTTTCATCACACGTCGCACGGACCTTGCCATGAGAATAACTGTACACTGTAAACGCTATCATCGCGCAAAGGCTTTCCCAAAATCGTGTCAAGACACTGTGCTTCAGAATTACGCTCAAACGAACGAATCCTAAAAATCATATAAAGATTGCCAGGGTCATCTCAAGGAGTCCCGCGGATGGACATTGAATCTGGCGCAGGAGCTCCTCCCTCTGCCTTGGCAGTATAGCCCGTAACTCCTCTCCCGCAATTACCAGGAGCAATCCGATCTGGAGACAAGAGTGTGTTCGACCCAAAATGTCCAGAAAGCTACCTCCTGCAAGAGGGGCCCAGGGGGCGCCGCCACTCGTATCTCTGGCCTGCCACTCACTGGCAACCCCAACGATCTGTCGAGGCTGAATGTCTGTAGCGTCGTCCTTTGAACGACCCGCCCCCGTTCAATGTTTCTCCTCCCCCCTCCTCCGAGCAACCGTACGGCCAACGTCCAGCGAACGCCTGGCACCAGAGCAACGGAGCTGGGTGAACAGGGGCCAGCTAATTCATTCGCCGCATGCTCTCCTTCCGACCCCGGCATGCCATCACAGAAAAGACGCGAGTCCCCCCCCAGGTATCCTTCTTTGGGCAGGCCAAGGAAATGATTGAAGCAGATTCTGCATCAAAGCAACTCCGCTTCCACTGGATAGTTACAGAATTCACGTTGACGACGACGACGACGACGACGACGACGACGACGACGACGACGACGACGACCTGGCCTTGCCAGCCTCCTTGGCAACGTTCTTCAGCGCGTCGGGGCCCAGCACTAGTGCACCAATGGCAAGGATGACCTGCACAGGGATGGCGTCCACAGTAAACAACCACGGTCATGCATGTTTTTTTGGGAGGAAATTGAAAGACAAAGGCACACGCAGTGAGGTCGTGCTTACAAGAATCGGGGAGCAAAAACAGTATCACCGACACGCCGCCGTGGGAACCCACCAGCATGTTGCTACTGAAGAAACACCAGGGCGTCGGACAAAACGAAGGAGTTACACGCTGACGGGCTACCAACGGCAGCGTGTCATTGATATTTCTGCTCCCTCCCTAAAGAAGTATGAGTAGCCTTGAGGAGCGGGCCTTACTAGGAAGCTAGAACGCACTGCAGGTGCCTGACTCCTTGGGTGGAGACAGTCGAACACCGCCCGACCCCTACCTCGATTTCAAGCCCAAGCTTCCTGGACGCAAGAAGCTCCGCACACCGAAACATCACGGCAGCCCCATGCGCACCTTCGGAACTTGATTATGATCGCCACGAGGGGCTCTCAGAAGCAGGCCTCGAACGAAAGAGCTGCAGCAGCAGGATTGAAGGAGGATCTAGAGAAGGAAGGAAAGTAGGAAGAGTCTGGCGGATGGAGAAGAAGCAGGATAGTTGATCATATGTTCAGGGTGCCAGCTCGTGAGATGCCCGACTTGCCGCCCAGAGGGGTGCGGTCTCCTGATGGTCTGGACTGATGTTCTGCACCAGTTTGCGGAAGTCAAGTAAACGGAATGCAAATCCCACACCCATGAGCACGATCATGCGAAACAACTAATTCCTTGCTCCCCAAACAGTGCTGGTACTTAGGGGCTCTTACTTGATTGCACCGCATAGACTTGGGGTCCACGCTGGCTAACAGTTCATTAAGTGCAAGTCACATGTGCATGAGAATACGAAGCCAATGTGTCCTAATGGGTGGCCAATCCTAACATTATCCCGGCAAAGCAACCTAACAGCGATGTGTAGAAGCATATCTGGAAGCATTCCCCTTGATATTCAGATGAGAATCCAGTTGTAGAATTCTACTGTTCTCGCAGTCGCAGTCGCATTCGCGATGACAGTCGCAGTGGCAACGGCAGTCGCAGTCACAGCCTCAGCCTCAGCCTGCCTCAGCATCAGCATCAGCCTGCCTCAGCCTCAGCCTCAGCCTGCATCAGCCTCAGCCTCAGCCTGCTTCAGCCTCAGCCTCAGTCTGCCTTCAGCCTCAGTCGGCCTCAGCCTCAGCCTGCCTCAGCCTCAGCTCAGCCTGCCTCAGCTCCTGCCTCAGCCTCAGCCTCAGCCTGCCTCAGCCTCAGCCTCAGCCTGCCTCAGCCTCAGCCTGCATCAGCCTCAGCCTCAGCCTGCCTCAGCCTCAGCCTCAGCCTCAGCCTCAGCCTCAGCCTGCCTCAGCCTTCAGCCTCAGCCTCAGCCTGCCTCAGCCTGCCTCAGCCTCAGCCTCAGCCTCAGCCTCAGCCTCAGCCTCAGCCTCAGCCTCAGCCTCAGCCTGCCTCAGCCTCAGCCTCAGCCTGCCTCAGCCTCAGCCTGCTCAGCCTCAGCCTCAGCCTGCCTCAGCCATCAGCCTGCCTCAGCCTCAGCCTCCTTCAGCCTGCCTCAGCCTCAGCCTCAGCCTGCTTCAGCCTCAGCCTCAGTCTGCCTTCAGCCTCGCCTCAGCCTCAGCCTCAGCCTCAGCCTCAGCCTCAGCCTCATCAGCCTCAGCCTCAGCCTCAGCCTCAGCCTGCCTCAGCCTCAGCCTCAGCCTCAGCCTCAGCCTCAGCCTCAGCCTGCCTCAGCCTCAGCCTCAGCCTGCTTCAGCCTCAGCCTCAGTCTGCCTTCAGCCTCGGCCTCAGCCTCAGCCTGCCTCAGCCTCAGCCTGCATCAGCCTCAGCCTCAGCCTCAGCCTGCCTCAGCATCAGCCTGCCTCAGCCTCAGCCTCAGCCTCAGCCTCAGCCTCAGCCTGCTTCAGCCTCAGCCTCAGTCTGCCTTCAGCCTCGGCCTCAGCCTGCCTCAGCCTTAGCCTGCATCAGCCTCAGCCTCAGCCTGCCTGCCTCAGCATCAGCCTGCCTCAGCCTCAGCATGCCTCAGCCTCAGCCTCAGCCTGCTTCAGCCTCAGCCTCAGTCTGCCTTCAGCCTCGGCCTCAGCCTGCCTCAGCCTCAGCCTGCCTCAGCCTCAGCCTCAGCCTGCATCAGCATTCAAAATGCGGCCCGGGAATGGAGTTTTGGGAACTCGAAGAACACGAAGTGGCCTACAGTTGGTGGGCATTCAAAATCATGGGAATGGGAACTCGAAGACCACGAAGTGGCCTACAGTTGGCTCCGGGCATTCAAAATCATGCCCAGGAATGGAGTTCTGGGAACTCGAAGACCACGAAGTGGCCTACAGTTGGCTCCGGGCATTCAAAATGTGGCCCGGGAATGGAGTTCTGGGAACTCGAAGAGCACGAAGTGGCCTACAGTTGGCTCCGGGCATTCAAAATGTGGCCCGGGAATGGAGTTCTGGGAAGTCGAAGAGCACGAAGTGGCCTACAGTTGGCTCCGGGCATTCAAAATGTGGCCCGGGAATGGAGTTCTGGGAGTCGAAGAGCACGAAGTGGCCTACAGTTGGCTCCGGGCATTCAAAATGTGGCCCGGGAATGGAGTTCTGGGAAGTCGAAGAGCACGAAGTGGCCTACAGTTGGCTCCGGGCATTCAGAATGTGGCCCGGGAATGGAGTTCTGGGAGGTCGAAGAGCACGAAGTGTGTGACTGTTTGCGAAAAACGAATTCGGACACGAGTTCGGACACAGCTCCCCGGATGCCGCCCAGACCCCCCTGTGGAGTCATCTGCTGCTCTCTTTTGACACCACTAGAAACCTATCAGTCTTCGCTGTTAGGTAAAAATGCAATTCATCTGAAGCAAATGTACATGTGGAACGTGAACAGATTGTCAATTGGATGGTTGCCTCGCTATTTTCACGCGCGGTGTCCTCATGGAGTCCGATGATGTTGCCCCGATGGTGTCTCGATGGTGTCCGAACAATGCCCCAGTGGTGGTTCGAAAGCGAAATAAACGCAAAGCATGCATGATCAGAAGATGTCAGCGCGAAAGCACCGAACACTAGGCTCTTGTACTCACATGTGCAAGCTACTTGGTGCAGGCAGTATGGCACAAAGATGGTAACACCAAAAGGCACCAACCACAGGGCACCAACGATCGGGCACCACAGCGCAGCCAACCACCGGTTACCAGCCATTGGTCACCAACCGTAGGCCGCCAGCCATAGAGCACCGTAGAGAAATAATCGTCAGGCACCAACGCACAGAGAATCACTCATAGGGCACCACCCAGCGAACACCACAGGGAAGCAACCATAGGGCAACAACCTTAAGGGTACCAACCACAAGACACCAAGCATAGGGCACCGACGCGCTAACGCCGACCGCGCCACATCGAGCACCAACGCATAGGGCACCGAGCAAAAAAGTGAACGCGACCAACAGGGAACCATAGACAGGGGACCGTAGGGCACCAACCACATGGGCACCGAGAAGGAACGGACAACCGCGGCCCCCGGGGAGCCATCGACAGGAAGCAGGGAGCCATAGGGCGCCAGCCAGACAAGCGGGAACGACCAACCGCAGCCCACAGGAAACACAGACAGGGCACCAACCACAGGGCACCGAGAGGGAACTGCCGACCGCGGCCTAAAGAGACACGCAGGATACCAACAGCCAAGTGCGTGGCCACACGGAGCCATAGACAGGGAACCGTAGGGCACCGATATCATAGGGCACCGAGCGGGAACGGCCGACTGCTGTCAACTGGGAACCATAGACTAAGAACTGTAGGGCAAGAACTGTAGGGAACCGGGCGGGAGCGACCACTGCGGACCACAAAGGGATCGTGAAGGCTTCCAAATCAACTCAGGGAAAGCAAATAGCTCAAAGGGCCTCTGAAGCGGACGATAACTCGCTCACGAATCACCTCTCAAATAGGTTGGTACGGAAACACGAAGCGTCAAGAATTTTACTGCGAAGGTCACGATCGGTAATGCCACAGGAGAGCGGCGGAGGAGGTGAGGCAGAGAACCTTGCTTTTTCAGCGCAATTGTTTGGAGAGAGGGTTCAGGGAAAGAACGAGAGGAAAACGCGAACAGCCGAAGATCGACGTGGCATCTGCCTTATCTGGGCGTAAAGCTGGGGCTTCAACATAGGCAGGCAATATGCACCCCAAAGCAAAAAGCATAATCGAGGGAAGCAAGAAGAGGGACAAATCCCGAAGTGCCCCCAGACGATTCGAGCGACGTCTATAACAGACCAAAGGTCGGCAACAGAACTTTCCTGCTGCATCCCTTGCGGCCCCGCAAAGAAGCCGACGCGATGCCCGAGGCAGCACACGCCCAGTTTACAACTACACGACCACGCGCAATCTTCCCATAACCTTGAACCTGCGACTTCTGTTGATTTCTGTCTCCTGTCGGGGTCAGCGCCAAAGCGCAACACACACGAGGCCAGAACCTACTCACAGTCCGCCCTGGGTCCCCCCTCCCAGGAGCCGCCTCTGCATACTCTCTCGAGTCGAGTTTCCGCTCGGTGACGAAGAGGGCACCAGGGACCAAAAGAAGCGAGAAACACCGAAGGATGCCACTCTACCGCGCGGTCCTCCGCGGCAACTCATGGGAGCCAATCGACGCTAAACGACGCTAAATCTGAGCTAATCGATACTCAATCTGCGTTTTCTATCGACTACCACACGCTAGCGCACGCTAACATACTCGAATCGGGGGGATGCAAAGGTGGGGCAGAGGTGGGCCTGCAGGAAAATCACCCGAAATAGCCCCTGGAAGAAGGAAATGTGAACATCTGGCGGGGGTCCTTCCCCAACCCCACCTTGGGATGACCCCCCTCCCCCTCTATACCAAGCCCCGATCGAAACACAGATCTTCGATGACACACGAGGCTGAGACGAAGCTCGGACGAGCATCCGCCGACCCCCGCTCGCCGGGGGTGAAAAGGCGCGTGAGGCACTTGGCTGCCCCCCTCCCCCCTTCCCCCGTCTCCTGGGGTGCAGGATGCCACTCCGGGGGCGGGGGGCGAGCTCGTCCACGCACCCCCTGGGCCTCCGGAGCCCCCCGAAGGCCCCAAGGCAGCCCGCGAGGGCCCAGACGGAGCGACGGCCCAGGGTAGCCCCACGACATTCCAAGATGGCTTCCGGATGGCCCACGAAGCCCCCAAAGACAGCCCAGAAGCGCCTCCAGAGGATCACCGAGAGGGCCCCAAGAGGCCAAAATTATCCCATTCCCTTGGAAAGACTACAGTTTCAGCACTTTCGCATCTTACGTCCAAGAAGGCCCCAAGACGACCCGAGAGGGCCAAAACACAGCCTAAAGGGCGCCCCAAGAGGGCCCAAGAAAGCCCCTGAAGGGCCCCAAGAGGGCTCCAAGAAAGCCGAAGATTGGGAAAACGAACTGACATTTCGAGCCTTTCCCATCGAGATGGCCCCTCGAGACCCCGGAGGCCCCCGGGGGCCCTCCAAAAGGCCCCAAGAGGCCTCCAAGACGCCCCCAAGAAGGCCCCCAGAGGCCTCCAAGAGGCCCCAAAAGGCATCCCACATGCCCCCAAGAGTTTTCCAAGAGGCCCCAGAGGGACATCCCAAGAGACCCTCTGATTCATCCAGGAACCGCCTGACCCAGGATATGACTTCAACGATAGTCTCAAACGCTCACTCCTTGTGGGGGTCGGCAGAATGGCGCAAGCCACTTGAATAACATCGGGCGAGGATAAACCGAGAATCTCTGAGATCTGGCGGTTATGGATGAAGGGGCCCTGGGACACACAAATAAATAGACACAAATAGCAGGGATTCCCCACAGTTTCCCATATCTTCTGGGCTTTTGTTTTCCCCCCCCCCCCGACCAGTCCCACAAGCCCTTTGGGCGTGAGTGGTTTAGCGAGCTCTCTCTGTTCTCAACCCCCCATCTTCCCCTTCGGGGAGGGGTTTACCCCTCCCCCTACCCCCTCCCCCTGGACCTGGACAGGGAGTCCGGGGCGTAGTCAGGGTGGTCTTTTTTGTCTCCTGGGAGGGCCAAAAAACGACTACCCTCACGAGGATTCTGGCCCCGTCGGGGGGATACAGTTTGGCCCCTCTGCTCTTCTTTGAAGCCAAAATCGTTGATTTTACTACGGTTTTGGCCCCATTTTGGCGTCCTGAGGGGGCCGCGCTCATCTTCCTTCATGGCAAAATCATTGATTTAACCTAAGGTTTTTGGCTCATTTTGTCCTTCTCAGGGGGCAGCGCTCCTTTGCGCTTCTGAGGAGGTCGCAAGAGGCCCCCAGATGGCCCCAAGAGGCCCCCAGGAGCCTCCCAAGAGGCCTCCAAGAGGCCCCCAAGAGGCCCCCAAGAGGCCCCAAGAGGCCCCCAAGAGGCCCCCAAGAGGCCCCCAAGAGGCCCCCAGAGGCCCCACGAGGCCCCCAAGAGGCCCCCAAGAGGCCCCCAAGAGACCCCCAAGAGGCCCCAAGAGGCTCCAAGAGGCCCCCAAGAGGCCCCACGAGGAGATGCCCCCAAGATGTCTCCAAGAGGCCCCAAGAGGCGCCGAAGACGCCCTCAGAGGCCTCCGACCAAAAGACATCTACTTCTACTTCTACTCCTACGACTACTACTACTACTACGACTTCGACTCCACGCCCGAACGACTCACACCAGGACGAGGCGCCCGAACGACTCACACCACGAGGAGCCCGAACGACTCACACCAGGACGAGGGCCCCGAACGACTCACACCACGAGGAGCCCGAACGACTCACACCAGGAGGAGGAGCCCGAACGACTCACACCAGGACGAAGGGCCCGAACAACTCACACCACGAGAAGCCCGAACGACTCACGCCAGGACGAAGAGCCCGAACGACTCAAACCACGACGAAGAGCCCGAACGACTCACACCAGGAAGAAGGGCCCGAACGACTCACACCAGGACGAGAGGCCCGGAGATATGCGGGGGCAGGCGGAAACACGCCTGAAAAACACGACTGTCGGCATGCTTCGCAAGAGTTGCTGTTTTGAGATGGGCTGGTGGGGATACGCGAAGCGTGAAGAATTTCCCATATTTTCCTGGGAATCGACGATTACTTGTGTCTGTGAGTTTGTTCCCTCCTGGATGGCGAATACCTCGGGCGCCGCGCCGTCTCAGAGCGTTCGGGCACGCCCTGGGACGGTGGTCTCCTCGCCCTGTCCCCGCCCGAGAGAGAGGCTCCCGGGAATTGCGAGTGGAGCGGTCCAAGCGCGCGCCCGCCCCGCCCCGCCCCGGGGGGGCGCACCAAAATTTCCGAGGTGCCCAGGCCGAAGACGCGCCGTGCCACCGGGGAGGCCGCCGGCGGCAGGGGCGCGGCGGCCGTGTGGCCCCACTGGCGGTGGGGGGGGGCTCCTCCTCCCCCCTCCTCCTGCTCCTCCTCCTCCGCCTCCTCCTCCTCCTCCTCCTCCCTCCTCATCCTGCTCCTCTTCCTCCTCCTCCTCCTCCTCCTCCTCCTCCTCCTCCTCCTCCTCCTCCTCCTCCTCCTCCTCCGCCTCCTCCTCCTCCCTCCCTCCCTCCTCCCTCCCTCCCTGCCTCCCTCCCTCCTCCTCCTCCTCCGCCTCCTTCTCCTCCTCCTCCTCCGCCTCCTCCTCATCATCCCCTCCCTCCTCCCCTTCTCCTCCTCCTCATCCTCTTCCTCATCCTCCTCCTCCTCTTCCTCATCCTCCTCCTCCTCCTCCTCCGCCGCCCGCCGGCCCCCGATCCCTTGTCAAACACAACACCCATCTACTCAACAATCTCCGTCCCCAACAAACTCCCATCTACTCAACAGCCTCCGTCTCCAACACAACACCTATCGCCTCAACAACCCCCCTATCCAATACAACACTCATGTGCTCCACAGCCTCCGATGCAAGAGGTGCTTCTTAGGAGGTCGATTTAAAGAAAACGAAAAGTAGAACAACAAACAAAAAAACAAAAAAAATCCCGCCCGCCGCCCGCCGCCCGCCGGCCCTCGATCCCTTGTCCAACACAGCACCCATGTACTCAAAAACCTCCGTCTCCAACACAACGCCCAGCTACTCAAAAGGCCTCCGTCTCCAACACAACACCCATCGACTCAACAACCTCCCCCTCCAACACAAAGTACTCTTTGATATTATAGCCACAGGGACCCAGGGGCTGGGCGCTCAAAGGGAGCGAGTACCCTTTGGTACTAGATCTAGCCGCACGGACCCAGTGGCTGGGCGATCGAAAGGAGCAAGTACCCTTTGATACTCTAGCCCCAGGGATCCCCAACCCGAGTCTGTCCCCCCTCCCTCTCCCGAGTGGCGGCCGAATGGGGGAAAAAAAAAGGAAAGGGGGGGTGAAAGGAAGAGCGAAAAGTGCAGGATTTCCCTTGGGAGAAGCCGCCAGACCGTGGCGCTGCTGGAGAGGCCCACATAATCCACAACCCAGCGCCTCCTGAGGGGCCCGCACCCCCCTCCCCCCCATCCTTGGGACCTCCCCACACCCCCGCCTACCCCCCTTCCCCGCCGGGACGACCGAGCGGGAGAAAGAAAAAAAAAAAAAAGGATGAGGGGGAAAAAAAATGAGAGGGAAGAACAAAGGTGGAGGAGGGAAGAAGTGCAGGATTTCCCTCGGGAGAGACCGTGACAGCGTGGTGCTGCCAAAAGGCCCGCACCCACCACCACCCCATCCTGCCTTGGACCCCTCCCACCACCCCCGCTGCCGCCCCCCCCTCCCCGCCAGGACGACGCCCTCCCCTCCAACCCGCTGGGCCGACCGAGCGGGGGAAAAAAAGAAGAGCAACAACAACAACAACAACAACAACAACAACAACAACAACAACAACAACAACAACAACAACAACCACAACCACAACCACAACCACAACCACAACCACGATAACAACAACAACAGCAACAACAACAACCACCACAACAACCACAACAACCACAACAACAACAGCAACAACAACAACAACAACTACTACAACCACAACCACAACAACAACCACCACCACAACCACAACCACAACAACAACAACAACAACAACTACAACAACAACAACTACAACAACAACAACAACAACAACAACAACAACAACAACAACAACAACAACAACAACAACAATTACTATAACCACAACCACAACAACAAGCACAACCACAACCACAACCACAACAACAACAACAACAACAACTACAACAACAACTACAACAATTACTACAACAATAACTACAACTACAAAAGGGAGAGGGAACAAATCAGGATGTCCCTTGGGAGACGCTACGACCGCCTAACGCTGCCAAACAAGCCGGCAACAGCCACAACCTGGCGCCTCACGAGCCTTGACTTGGACGCCTCTCACCACCCCTGCCGCGGCCCCCCCCCTCCCTGCCAGGACGACCCCCCCCGCCAGGACGACCGAGCGGGGGGGAACATCAAAAAAAAGAAAAGGGGAGAAAAAAAAAGAGGGGGACAAAAAAAAAGTGGAGAGGGAAAAACTGCAGGATTTACCTCCGGAGAGGCCCCGACAGCGTGGCGCTGCCAAAACTGCCGCACAATCCACAACCGGGCGCCTCACGAAGGGGCCCGCATCCCCGACTCCCCTCCAGGAGGACACCCCCCCTCCCCAACGGGGTCGACCGAGCTGTAGAAAAAAAGAGGGGGGGGAGCAAAAAAAAGGGGGGGAGAGAGAGGGAACAAAAGGGAAGAGGGAAAAGGTGAAGGACTTCCCTTGGGCGAGGCATCGACAGCGCGACGCTGCCAAAGAGGACCGCGAGATCCACAACCCGACGGACGCCTCACGAGGGACCCGCACCCCTCACCATGAAGGGGCCCCAGGACACACAAATAAATACATACAAATAAAATGATTCCCCATATTTTCCCATATTTTCCGGGTTTTTGTCTTCCCGCCCAATTCCCATATTTTCCCATATTTTCCAAGGGATCGACGATTAATTGTGTCTGTGTGTTTTTTCTCCTCCTGACAACACCCCATCCTTGAACCACTCCCCCCCCCCGCGCCCCCGCCCCCACCACGAGCCCCCCCCCCGCCTCCCCCGCCTCCACCCTCGACCCCCCGCAAAATCCGCCATCCGGCGCCTCCCACCTCCCAAGGGGCCGGCACCCTCCCCCCCCCTCCCCCACCCACGCGGCCCCCCCCGAGAGGGGGGAAAAAAAAAATATGCGGAGGGAAAGAACAAAAAGGGAAAAGGCCGAACGGGAAACAAAAAATGGGAGAGGGAAACAAAAAAACGACGCCCGTCAGGTCGGTTGTAATTGGTACCAGTCGGTTGAGATTGGTCCGACATGCGGCTCCCAGCCCCCCCCTGGGCTCCCGCCCTCTGGTTCGAACCTGGGGGGGGAGTTTACCCTCCCTACCCCACAAGGGGAGTGGGCATATCTTCCAAGCAAGCGCCCGTGAAACGCGCTCTCTCATAGATAGAAACATCGAATGCCACCGATGAGAACGTAAACAGATAGGTAGGTAGATTAACAGATTGCCAAATACATGGATGCACAAATCCATGTTGATGTTCCGATGTGTGCCAACTGGTGAGTTGAAATGTGCGCCCGATGGACATCAAAGATGATATGAATCCCCCCACGTACTTATCACCCGAACGGTGGCCTTATCGGTATGGTGTTGCTCCTTGCGCGGTTCTGGTTGACTCGATCAGGATGAACCTCGGGAGCGGCCAAGAGGGGGGTGTCCAAGAGGGGGGGCTGCAAATCATGACCGGCGGCATGTGCGCGGCCCAGCGGGGGGGCCAGGGACGTAATGAAATAAGAAGAGGCGCCATGGAATCTGGGGAAATATCATGGCCCACGCCATGATATCCACCCCCCCCTAGTCATCACCCCCCTCTTTTCCGCCCCCGAGAACCGTGCTGACAACGTCGGCGTGGAACACTTCGCACCCCGGGCCGGTCGCTGGGCTTCGGGGACGCCCTGGGACGGCTGCAGCACGCCAGGGCACGTCCCAAGGATCCGGCGGCGCAGCTCCTGGAGAGCGAAGTCCGCGCCGATCCGGGACCTCCTGCTCCTCCCCTCCCCCCTCCCCCTCGCCTGCCCCCTCCTTCCCCTCCTTCTTTCTTCGTCCCTCCCCTCGGGATCCCTCCCCGATGAGATCCCCGATGAGAGGTGCCCATGAGCTCCGCCCACCGACCACACCGGAGCATGGGGCTGGCGCGTGCCTCTCAACAGACGCTGAGCGGCCCAATGGCAACAAATGGCGATGATGTGGAGAAGGCTAAGCAAGAGGCCAAGCACTCCGTGCCTTTGGAGCAGCGGCAGGGCTCCGTCCAAAGCAAACCAAGCCAAGCCAGCTTACAACTTCGACAGGGCGACATGCCTGCCACAACCTGCGCCCAGTGTATTCTTCAGTGGCTTTGGACGACGATGAGCACACCCGCCTGCACAGAACACTCAGAACAATCCGCGCCAACCTGCCCCACGACCCGGCGCAGTCTGCCCGCGAGCACTGCACGGTCCGCCCAGCCCAAATCCCCTCCCCGATCCCCGCACCCCCTCACCTGCGCATGGAGGCACGACACTCCGACAGCAGGCAGGGAAGCAGATCAATCGGCGCGGCTGGCCCCCGTGGGTGCTGCTGCGCTCCCGAGGCTGAGCCTGGGCACCGTCGAACAGGAGACGGTTGACGGAGCAAGATCAGAAAGGGAAGCAGAGCGCAATGCAGATGAAACGAGGTGCCACCAGGAAATTTGAGAACAGATGGATGCGACGGCGAGGTTCGAGAAGACAGCTGCCAAACGGCGCGGACACGAGCGCATGCGACAAACGACTATGGCACGCGAGCGAACACGACAGCGCCGTTCGACCGACAGCGGATATGGCGCAGCGAATGCATGCAAGAGAAGATCCGCCACCGTACCTTCAGAGCTGCGGTTTTGATAGCTCGATAGACGCTCTGTAAGATAATCAAGGACCCGAACATAGAAACCCTAGGAATGTGGACACTGCTGTGGGTTCTCACGTGGCCTCCAGGAAGGTGGTCCAGAACGACCCGAAGAACACCCCAAGGTTTCCTGAGAAGCGCCCAAGAGGTTCCAAGAGCGCCCTGGGACGACCCCAGAAGGCCCCAAGACTACCCACCCATGATGCCCTCCAGACAGTCCGAGAGGCTCCTAAGAAGCTAAAAGAGGGCTCCAAGAGGCCCTCCAAAAGGGCCCCAGGAGGCCAGAATGGTTGATGTCCCATTCGTGTTGTTTCAGGATTTTAGTGTTCTCGCCTTTTCGGTCTTTCGGCGCTCCAAGACAGCCCAGGAAGCCACAAGGATCGCTCCACGACGGCCCAAGAGGCCTTCAAGAGGGCCCCAGACGGCCCCGAGATACCCCAAGAGGCCCCCAAGACGGCCTGAGAGGGCCCCAAGAGAGGCCCCCACGAGGTCCCAAGGAGAGAACACGAACCGACACTTCGAGCCCTCCGCCCCAAGACGACGTGCGAGACTACCAGCACGCCCCCAGGAAACCCCCAAGAAGCGCTAGGAGGCCCCCAGGAGGCCCCTCACGGGCCCCCAAGATCCCAAGAGATCCTCACAGGCACCCAAGAGGGCTCTGCACTACAACCAATGGCACGGAGGCGGGATGTGCCGAAGGACACCAGATCCGCCGCTCCCTGTGGCTTGCCACAGGGGTGCACGGCGTGCCAAATGTTGGGTAGGTGTCGGTTTTATGTGAAAGCTCCCAAAATGTCCCAAGAGCGTTCGGCCAAACCATTCAGCCACCTGTAAGGACGCGTGAAGCAGGGTTTCCATCTGCTTTCTGCTGTATACGGGCTCATAAATTCTCAGGTCGTCGGTTTTCCCGCTCCAGGCGGCCCCAACATGGCCTCCAAAACGGGTAAGGAAGTCTCCGAGACGGCCACGGTGGCCCCAGGAAAGCCCAAGATGGCCCATGATGTCTCCAAGACGCTCCGAGATGCCCCCAAAATGGCTCAAGATGTCACCAATACGGCCTCAAGAGCGCCCAAGATGCCTCCGAGATGGCCCCCTGACGGTCCAAGAGGCCCCCAAAACGCTCTTAGAGGGCCTCAAGACGGCCAAGGCGACCTCCAAGACGCCCAAGATAGCCTCCAAGACGGCCCTCAGGCGCCCCAAGAGGGCCCCAACTTGGCCAGACGCCCCCAGGACGGTTTCCGACGGCGTCAGACGAGCCAGGAACGCTCTCTGACGGCCAAAGAGCCTCCCAAGGAGCCTCCAAAGGCCCTCAAGGTCCAAGGAAGCCCCCGGGAAGCTTCCAAGAGGCCCCCATGAAGCTCCCAGGAGGCTCAAAGAGTGCCCCTAGAGAGTCCCAAGAGGCCTCCTCCTCCTCCTCCTCCTCCTCCTCTTCCTCCTCCTCCTCCTCCTCCTCCTCCTCCTCCTGCTCCTCCTCCTCCTCCTCCTCCTCCTCCTCCTCCTCCTCCTCCTCCACAACGGCTGGGGGAACACATCGTCCAGAAGCTTGGCCACATTGGCCCAACGTTTGGCAACACGGGACTCGCCCCCACGAAAACAAACTTGCTAGCAAGTCCCATGCAAGTCCCACGTGACTGTCCCGAATGCCAGTCCCCCATGCCACTCCCGCATGGCCCGCACGCATGTCCCTCATGCTAATCTCGAAGGATGGTCCCGCATGCCAGTTCCGGCTTGCTTGCTTGTTTCATTGTTTGTTTGCGTGTTCGCTCCCTTGTTCGATTGATGACTTGCTACTTTGAATGGCTGCATCCTTGCTTGCTACCTTGCATTGCTTTCGCATTTGCTTGTCCTTGCTTGAATGCTCGTGTCCTTGCTTGCCTGTTTCCGTGAAAAGCTTGATGGTTTGCTTGGTTGCGTGTCGCATGTGTGTCCCTGTTTGCGTCACTGTTTGCTGCCATGTCCTTCTCTGCTGCCGTGTTTGCATTCTCGTGTGCGTTTCACGAGTCACCGTTTCCTTGATCGTTTGCAGCCAGACTCCACGCGCACCAAGCCTAGAAGCGTGGCGACCGCCACTCAATACAGCAGATCCGCTTGGAATCTAAGCAGGTGGCTATTTTCATCGACCAGGGGAGGGGAGGGGAGGGGGCATGATTGGCATGATGATCGCACGCTTCGGGATCAAACGAGGAAAAGAACCGATCTCTGCCAATCGACAAACCGCCGGGAGCCACAAACCCGTCAATCAACCAATCAACCAATCTGCCAGGTCAATCTGCGTTGGGAGCCCCAACCGCGTCAATCAACCAATCAACCGATCTGCCAGGTCAACCTGCGTTGGGAGCACCAAACGCCATGCGCAGACGGTGTTTCCCCACCCACCGCCCGTGCGTCGCACCCTTCTCCCTAGCAGACGCCACTGACAAATCCTCTGCTCCCTCATCACCCGTGTCCCCGTTGCCGCCTCTCCCTCCTCGGTGTTATGAATACTGCTCGTATATGAAATCTCTTCTTAGTACCACCATTCCTCTTAGTAGTACGACTAGAACGTGCGTTACTGTTCGTAGTATGATTCAGAATGATAAGATGACCGTTCGTATTGCTCACGTTCTTGATGTTGCTCACATTGTTCTCCTTATCGTTGTTGTCCCTACCCCGTTCCTTCCGTTCTTGCATGTCCTGTTTTCTGGGGATGGGGCAGTGGGGGAGGTTGGAGCAGTCGAGAGAAACACGCCATGTCTCGAAATAAACTCGACTGGAGAGATGGGAATGCAGGCGCGGTGGACTTGAACGAGACAAAGGAAGAGTGAGACGGAAAAAGGGAGACATTCATGGAGAAGACTGAACAAGCGCCGACTGGCCCACAACTACAAATCGTTTGAGATAAAAGACGGCCTACTGACGACGCGACCGGCTCGCTGACTGAAGTCAGGACGCCTGGGCAAGTGAGACAGACAGTGCACGGCGACGTCTGGGAGGACCAGAGCGCGCCCCGTCGTGCCATCACGCAAGAGTTCCTGGGACCGCTCCGCAACTGGTGGGCACGCCCGCGAACCACTGCAGTGACATGCGAGCTGCATCACGGCGATCCAAGAGCACAGGACCAACGCACCGCGAAGAACAGTCTGCAAAACGGGCCTCGGGGAGCAATGCCACAACAGTGCCATGCCACATGGCGCACGCAACGCTGCCGCTCGCCCCATGCCACCCCGACTCCACAACCATCGGGGGGGGAATGCCACCACCCCCCATCGCCGCGACGCGGGCTCCACCCCGCGCCGCGACGATCTGTTGCAGCTCAGCGGACGGACGTCGCCACCCAGGAATGGGGGCGGAGCGGCGGCCATCCATGGCCGCGCGGCGGCAAGGACTCGACGCGGCACTGCCCGCGGTCAACCGTGCTCGGCGACGCCGCGCCGGGCGCGGGCCCGCCCGCCGCTCGGCGCCGCGTCGCAAAGGGGCCCCCGCCCCCAGGGGTCGCCGCTGCTCTCATCGGAGCGGGATGCCCGCTGTCAAGGCGAGCCGAGTTCAAGCTCGCCGCGCCTGTCTTTTGCGCCCCTGGGCCACTCTGCGGCCTGACCACAGCAGGCGCAAGTCAGCCTGCGCCACTCCCCCGTAACATTCCTCGCGCACTCATTCCCTTCACGCGCTCCACGATCTGTCTCTTTGCCAAGGCTTCAGCGGGCAGGCTGGCCCCGTTGTCATCGGCGCCGACGCTGTCGAGATCAAACTGCACAGGTGCCACTTTCTCTCGAGACACCAACTCTGGGCGCGCGCTGGCTGGTCGACGCCCCCATGCGAGAGAGAGAGAGAGAGCACCGCGGATGACCCCCACGCCGCCTGCAGCCAGCGAGCCGTAGCCCCGTCCATCAGGACAATCGAATACTCCAGATTTCGTAATAAAGGGAGGGGGTCTGGACCCTCCAAGACAAGCCATTTCAGACCTCCCCCGTGGGAGAACCCTCCGAAACATCGTCCCAATAACCCCCCAGGCCCTCCAAGATAGCCTGGAAGAGACCCCCCCCGAAATGAGACCCCCCTCCCTTTATTACGGAGTCTGGAGTACCCCAATCCAGTAAAAAGCTCAACGCCCATGGCGAAACACACGTCCTCAACGGACGGGCCAACCGCACGCAACACGCTGAAACGCGTCGGACCGCGCCGGCAGCGACGAAGACCGACGCGCCAGCCGTCGACCTCCGACGCACTCTGCACGTGCAGCACTGCCACCTCCACTGGGATCGCCACGTTGAGGTCGTCGTCGCCACTGGCCGCGTTCCTGTCCCCAGCGAACGTGTCCGCCAAGCGCGGTCGCACTATCAGGTGCCTAGCCAACTTTTCCACACATGCCCGCCTGCCTCAGGGCTCGCACCGCATTCCACCCCCCCCCCCTCTCGCGATGTCTCTGACTTTACTTCGCTGCGCCAGGTCTGCCAGCGGCTCCCCGTCGACACACGTGCATGCCGCGATCGACTGCGCGCGACGCAGGCCAGCTCGCGCCGCGACCCCCTCGCCGACGGGCGGCAGAGGGGGCCCCAGCCAGCCCGCGCCTCCAGCCCGCGGCCGCCAGCGACTCGAAGATCACACTCAGAGCGAGGCCTTTTTCCCCGGCGCGCGCACGGACCCCTCGCCACCCGTCGAGCGACCAGCAAAACTCACACCGAAGCCGTCTCCATGCACAACAAGCGCAGGTCGGCTGACACACATCGAGAAGGGAGCGCCGGGCTGCGCCCGCCAGACCGGCGCCCATCCGGCCCCCTTAGCCGCGGGGAAAGCCCCCCGCCATAGAGCACGCCATGCGCCATGAGCAACATAACATGCACGGTTTCCTCGACAAGGTCGCAGAGGATGCGGCCGCCTCTGCGCCCGGCAGCCCCGCCCACGCCGCCCGCCCCGCGCCCGCGAAGCGGGCGCGGAACATGCCTGATAATATCGCTGCCAGACGCTTTCTCCAATTAGACCTCCGTCTGAAGGTCGGCCAGTTCCAACAGTCGCATCTATGAGAGGAAAAACACGGTCAGCAAGTTCCGTCATGATTCGCCTTTGCCACGCTTCTCTCGCGGCTGCCAATCCAAATCAACAAAGCGGGCGCATGTCCTGCGACAACACGGACGTCGCGTGCCTACCCCTTTCCATTCGCGCCTTGCCCGCGCCGCCAACGCACGCGCGCCGCGCGCGATATCTGCGGTCGGGCCAGACTCCGTTCGCGCTGTCTCAAGCGCGGTCGCCACGGGGGTGCCCAGCGGAGTGGCGCCCCACGCGGACCTACACTAACCCTCGCCAATTCCGGGGGGGGGGGGGGCTGCGATCTGCGAAACTGCTGCTTCTTTCCACGGCTGCCAGGGCGCCCATCAGGACGACGCCCCACGCAAACCTAAACTCAGCCTCGCCATCGCCCCTTAGAGGGCTGCGATCTGCGAACCCGTCGCCACCTTCGAAGACTGCCGGGGGCCCTGCAGAGCGCCGCCCCACGCGGACTGAAGTTAGACCTCGCCATCCCTCGGGGGCTGCGATCTGCGAAGCTGTCGCCGCTTTCGAGGGCTCGGCGGTCAAGCGGAACGTCGCCCCACGCGGACCCAGAGTAAGCCTCGCCACCTCACCCCTCGGGGAAATCCACCCCGTGAAATCTGGGGGTCGCGTGCGTATGGATGCTAGTTGTCAGCTCATGACAGAGGGCTGGCCGGGGCCCGTCACTCGGACGGCGCCCGCAGATCCCTCGGCTGCCTCCCCTACCACATCCTCCCCCCAAGGACTGGCGCCGCGCAGGTGCCCGCGCAGGAGATGCAATCGGGCTGGTCTGGTCCGCACGGCGTCGGCCCAACAGGCATCGGCCGCATAGCGCGCCAGACACATCCCTTGACACGTCCCCCAGACACGCACCCTGACGCGTCCCCGGGCGGGCCATCTGATACGGCATCAGGCACGCCACCAGACAGGACCCCCTCGAAACGCAGCGGAATACACATCGAAATCGAATATGCCATGAGAACTCACTGCTGGGATGCGTTGCTGGGTGTAGAGGGCCGGATGGCATTTCCCTCTCCTCCACCCTCCTCCTCCTCCTCCTCCTCCGCCACCACCACCTCCTGCTCCTCCGCATCCTCCTCCTCCGCCGCCTCCTCCTCCTAAGTCTCTACGGATAGGAGGGGAGAACAGGAGAAGAGGCCAGAGGGTATACGGGAGGAGAGTCCTAGAGAGAGTTGGAGGGAGAGGAGCGAGGGAGGGAAGGATGAGGGAACGGGGAAGACAGGAGGGAGGCGGAGGATGATACCGACGACGCTGACGACGACGACAACAGCGACGTGAACGGAGTAGGACGTGAGCGAAGACGGGGAAGAAGGTGAGGTCAGCGAAATGAGTTACGAGGAGGAGAGAAAGACGGGGATGGAGACGAGGATCCGATCTAGGGGGACGATGCGAAAAGAGAAGTACGAAGGGACGGCGAGCACAAGGACGAGCAGCAGCGGCTACGGCAGGAGGGGACAGGACGGCTGCACCCCCGCGCACCCCGCCAGCCCCGGCCCCGCGGGATGGGCCTCGGGCCGGCCCGCGCTGGCGCCGCGAAGGCGAAGTACATCGCGGACTGGACGCGGCACCTGCCCCGGGGGGGGCCCCGCGGCCACGGACCGGGGAGGCTGGCGACCTCCCCGCGGGCCTCCGAGGCCGCGAGGGGGGCTCCGGGCGGGCCGCGCTGTGCTCCGGGGGCGGCCAGGGGCCCAGGCCGAGCCAGAGGGAGGGGGTGGGGAGGAGGAGGAGGAGGAGGAGGAGGAGGAGGCGGAGGAGGAGGAGGAGGAGGAGGGGGCGGGCCGCGCGGCTCGCACTGACCCCCCCCTCACGGGCGGGCCCGAGCGGCGCACGCCCCCCCCCCTGGGAGCCTGTACCGACCCGGGTGGAGTGGGCACCGGGACCCCCGCAGCCTCGAGGCGGGAGGGAGCAGGGGCCTGCTGGGAGCGCGCTGGCTGGGCCCGTCGGATCGCCCAGGGGGCAACCTGCACGCTCGGCCACGGGCAGGCTGGTCCTTGGCGTGCAACGGCCACGTGACCCAGCCCAACGCCACGCCCCGTGACCCGAACCGAGCGCCTGCGCGGTAGCCTGGCGCAAGAGGACATCTTCGTCGGAAGCCCAAAGCCCAAAATCCTATTGTCAAGCAGGAGTTCAGGCTCCAGCGCGATGTCATGGGAGCCAAAGCCCCTGGGGCTCCAACAGACCTGGGGCACCCTCATGTCAAGCAGGGTGTCGCGGAGCTAGTGCAAGGAGGGCGGGAAGGGGGAGCTAATCAACTTACAAAACCACAAAGCACTCGTTGACTTAGCTTCAGATACGCCAGGCAGTGAAACTTGCGCATAACTGCGATTGCACTGTTACTCCGAGCCATCACCACCCATGACGAGAAATGTTGATGGGTGCTAGCACGACAATTAGCCCAGCTGTCGGCCACTCTATAAGTGCGCAGGCAGATCCCAAAAAGCTCTCATTCAGGAAAAAGGACTCCCACCGTATTACTATTGTTCCCCCTGCAACCTAGCGCACACGCTCACACGTGCCCTACCACGCAACACTAGGAAGCAATGCCAGGTCCAGCAAGAGCGGGCCACGCTCACGAGAGTCATGGCGGTTCCCCATGCGCTTTGCAGGAGGGGGTGTGGCAGCGGCCGTGGGGCTCAGTTGAACGGATAGTCACAACATCGCTGTGGACATTGCAGGACAACGCGCCCGCCCCCGACTGTCTGCCCGCCTGGCTACATCTGCCAAGCACGTTCCAGATTCCCGACTGAAAGCTAGCCAGTCAACCAGCCAACCAACCAGCAGCCAGACGGGACCACCACGGCATCGAACCTCCGTTCGTTCCAAAAAAACAATGAGTTCTGTAAGGGCCTTGTCTCGATATCCGAAAAGCCAGTGCGCGCGTTGCGCGATCCAGAATCGGTGACCCGTGGTCTCCGGTCGTGGTCTCTGGCCGTGGCCCATGGTATCTAGTCATGGGATTCGGTCGTGGCTGAGGGTCTCTGGTCTCTGGTCGTATTCTCTGGTCGTGGGCCTCATTTATGGTCTCCTATGTGCTGTGCCCCGTTTTCCTGCACAGCACTGGTCGGCGGAAAACAAACATGGTCAACGTCGCTCTGCTGGGACCTTCGTGGTGCAGGGTGCAGACACACACATACACACACAATTGCTGTCCTCCTGCGCGACGACGAGCTGCAGTGGGCGAGCCAAGCAGTACCAAAGGCGGGCTACGCTCCAACTAAGCACACAAAAGGGTCCCGCTGCCGATAACCTCCCTCGACCGCCCAGCGGCCCTGCCCCAGCGAGCACCCTCAGGCACGATCATCGGTAGCGTGCGTGTGTGCTCTCACGTCGCAAGCGAGGGGGCGAGAGAGAGCCACGCGGCACGTCGCGGCTGCCAGCAGCACGCCCAGGAGGAGCGCGGGCAGGGCCCGGGCGCCCCGGAAGCCGCCTGGCTTGCTGGCAAGGTTCCTCCTCGTCGTCCCCACCCCCATGCACTCTTTCTGCCCCTCCTCCCTCCTCCCCCGCATCCCCCTGCCTCCCTCCACCCTTGTCCTCGCGGGTGACTCCTCCTCCGTGCCGCACCACCAGACGTCTCGGCGGGGCGGGGCGGGCCGGGCGTTTCGCCTGAGACTTCCTTAGCATTTCTGCCCTGAACAGCTTGTCTGTGAGGATTGTGCATCCCTCCTCCTGAAGGGCCCAAAGACGGCCCCAAGAGCGCCCCAGAGCGCCCTTAGAGCGCCCCAGGAGCGTCCCACGAGGGCCCCAAGAGGCGGTGGGCCTCCGCCTCCTCCTCCTCCTCCTCCTCCTCCTCCTCCTCCTCCTCCTCCTCCTCCTCCTCCTCCTCCTCCTCCTGATCCTCCTCCTCCTGATCCTCCTCCTCCCCTCGCCCCCCCGCGGGCCCCAGGGATAGCCCGAAGAGGCCCTCCAAGACCACCTCCATGGTCCCAAAGATCTATATGTTCATCCTGGCTGCCCGCTTCATTTCACTGTATGTGTCTCTTCGTCCCTTTTCTCGTCAGCTCTCATGGGCAGGATTTCTGACCTAACTGGTGAGGATACGAGAAGAGTGAATAGTGTCTTACGGATACCGAACGGATGATTGAAAAGATGCAACGAGTGCACGGACGGAGGGCAGATCCTTTTCAACATGGGGTTGTTTCTTGAGACTCCCTCAAGCTTGATGAGTAAAAGTACTGACTTATGCAACCGGTACACGGATGGGGGGGCGGTTGCTTGGGTTGCTCGTCTTCCAAGGTGGCGTGTTGCCTTTGCTCTCGAATCATCCGAGTCGTAAAATTACTCGAGACGTACTCAATCCCTTCTCCACACGAGGCGATCCATACGTAAGAACACATCGCCTGATATGAACGATCTGCGATGCCCGCTGGATCTGCGTGGCCCCCGACTCCGCTGGACCTCCCAGGAGCCCACGAAAATGACGACAAATGCATAGTCGGCAGCCCCTCAGGGAGCAGCGAAGTCCGAAATGGATCCGCGTGGCCCCCGACTCCGCTGGACTTCCCAGGAGCCCACGAAAGTGGCGACGGTTGTGCAGATGGCAGCCCCCCAGGGAGCAGCGAGGTCCCCGCTATATGCGCGTGCACACCCACTCCGTTGGACTTCCCAGGAGCCCACGAAAGTGGCGACAGTTGCAGTTCGCAGCCTCACAGGGAGCAGCGCAGGAGGAGGCATGAGGAGGGGGGAACAGGAGGAGGAGGAGGAGGAGGAGCAGGAGGAGGAGGAGGAGCAGGAGCAGGAGGAGGAGGAGGACGAGGAAAGGAGGAGGAGGAGGAGGAGGAGGCGGAGGAGGAGCAGGAGGGGGAGGGGGGAGGAGAAGGAGTGGATACCACAGTGCTTTCTTCAGAACGAGAAAACAGCACAGGAGGTTTGGACAAAATACTCGTAGATGTATTGCAGCATCGTGGAGACATCCTGTGTTTACTCTGGTTCCTCCTCCTCCTCCTCCTCCTTCTCCACTCCTATCCTTATGAATGATTCCTCTCTGCTGCAACATTAATAGGATCGTTAGAGCGGTCAGGGCGTTTCGCCAGAGACGTAATTACAATTTAGGATGTAGAATACGGGTAATTCCCGACAAATACCTGGATGTAGGGCGGGCCGTTTTCAAGATGGGATTGTCGCTCTGGCACCGCGTACACTCGTCTTAAGAAGTAACCGCTACACGGAAGTAACTGGTACACGGATGGTGGGCGGGTCGATTTCAAAATAGGATCGTCACCTTGGCGCCGCGCACAATCGTCTGATAAGCTCCCAACGGTTGCATCGATGCAAGGCGAAGCGTTTCAGCATGGGGGTCTCGCCTTGGCGCCGGGCACACTCGTCTGAACGCTTGCCGATCGTGGCAAAGATTGAGGGCGGCGCCTTTTCAAAATCGGACTCTCGCCTGAGACGTCTTTAGACATTGTACCAGGAGGCTCGTATTCTGCGACAACTACGCGGATGGAGAGCGTGTTTCTGCTTTGCGGGACTTTCGGTACGCACTTCCTCGAACTGTGTGACACCACCCTGCCGCTTGCCTTGGAGCTCGAAGGATGAAGGGACCTTTCCTTCAAAACGGAGCCCTGGGGGGGGCCTTCGTCTTTCAAGGGGCGCATCGCGCAGTCAAGAAGACTGCTTGCAGGAACCTAGATTGTGGGGCCTGGGGACGGGAGGGTGTATTGCACCATCGCCGATACATCTTGGGCTCACTCTGGTCCTGCCCCCTTCTCTGCGACCCTCCTCCCTCTCGCTCCCCCTCCTCGTTTCTCCTGCGCCGTGGACTCGTGCTTGCTTCCTCCCTGCTCGCAAACTGCTGACGAGATCCTGACACGCCGACAGAGGGGAGGAGCGAGGCAACAGGGCAAGCAGGCCGGCGACGAGCGGGCCACGCAATCAGGCCATCGGGCAACCAACAAGGCAGGAGGCAACGGAGCAAAAGGCAACGAGGCAAGCATCAAGGAAGGAGTCATTGTCTGCCACCGTGCCGCGAGGACCGCAGTGGGGTGTCCTCAGGTCCTTCGGCATCGTCAGTATTTAATGCTGTAAGTCGAAGCGAATTGCCCTAGCCATCCCAACAAGCCAGCCCAACTGACCCAACCAATCCAACCAACGAACCCGCCAACCACCCAACCAGCCAACCAGCCCCCCCAAATCCCAGCCACCCTGCCACCCCGCCAACCCCCGCCGCCTACCCTCCGTCACCACCGAGAGGGGGTGAAGTGCTTCTCACTGGCGAAAACTCAAAAAAAACTCCCTCCCCAAGCCTGGCGAGCGGGGGGAGGCTAAATCGCACCTTGACATGCGGCGCCTGGCTTCCCGCCGAGGAGCACACGAGACGGACGGTCTAGGCCCTCGAGTGTGACACTGCCGTCATGTTCTACTTACCTGCCCCCGCGCCCGCGCTCTCCACTGAAAAACTCCCATCCTCGAAACTGCCGTCACTGTTCAGGCCCCGCGCGGCGCTTCCTAGGAGGCACGGCAGGGTTTGGCCCGCGGAGGCTAAAGCGCACGGCGACGGCAGAAGCCCTAAACGCGGCCTCTCAGGGCACCAGGCGGCGCAAGCGCGCCATCAGACAGTCCAACAGAGCCCCAAGGTACTCCAGATTTCGTAACAAAGGGAGGGGGGTCTCATTTCGGGGGGGGTCTCTTCCAGGCTATCTTGGAGGGCCTGGGGTGGTCTGGGGACGATGTTTGGGAGGGTTCTCCCACGAGGGGGGTCTGAAATGGCTTGTCTTGGAGGGTCCAGACCCCCTCCCTTTTATTACGAAGTCTGGAGTACCTGGGGCAGCACGGAAACGGAAAGAGCGCCTCAGGAACTGGCCCAATAGGGCTCACGGCACCCTTCGCTCTTGGAAGCCTTGGTGTGAAGAGCTGGTTACTTCGCCGTCTCCGTTGGCAGCCCTGGTGTTCAGAGACTGGTACGTTGCCGCTGGTTCTTGGGAGCCTTGCTGTGACGAGCTTTGCACGGCACCGCGCTCTGGGGAGCCTTGGTGTCAAGAGCTTGTTGCGCCACCGCTCGCTGATGGTAGCCATGGTGTTCTTGAGCGTCTCTTGGGCCTCGTCGGGGTCTTCTTGGGGCCCGTTTGGAGACCTTTGGGAGCCCTTTGAGGCAATTTTGGGCCGTCTTGGAGACCTTTTGGGCCGTCGTGGAGCGTCTTGGAAGCCTTTGGCCAGCTGGGGGCTCTCTTGGAGGCCTCTTGGGGCCCTCTTGGGGGCCTCTTTGGGCCCTCTTAGGGCCCTCTTGGGGCCCTCTTGGCCGTTCTGGGCCCCCCTGGGCTGCCTGGGGGCCCTCTTGGACCGTTTTCGGGCCCTTTCGGGCGTGGACCGTGTTGGACCGTTCTTGGCCCGAAAAAGCCAGAACCCCAAAACATACGAAAACCGTAGAAAAGTAAAGGTTTTCTGCCCCTGGGGGCCCTCTCGGGAACCCTCTGGAAGGCCCCTGGAGCCGTCTTGAGGCTCTCTTGGACCGTCTGGAGGCCATCTGAGGCTCTCTTGGGGCCGTCTTGGTGCCCTCTTGGGCAGTTTAGGGGCCCTCTTGGGCCGTCTTGGGGCCTTGGGCCGCGTCACCTGGGCCAGCACGGAAACGGAAAGAGCGCCGCCCCTGGGGGCCCTCTCGGGAACCCTTTGGAAGGCCTCTGGAGCCGTCTTGAAGCTCTCTTGGACCGTCTGGAGGCCATCTGGGGCTCTCTTGGGGCCGTCTTGGTGCCCTCTGGGGCCATTTTGGGGCCCTGTTGGGCCGTCTTGGGGCCCGAGGACCGCGTCAGTCTAAAAAATACAAGGAAACGAGCCATGGGAGCTGCCCGGGAGCCGCTTCACTCGGGAAAAAACGGCCCCCCCAGCCATTAGCGCCGGAACGTTCCCCCCTGGAACCTCCCCTGGACCCCTTCCTGGAGGGCTTCGCCCCACACTAGAACGTCATCACTCGGACCTGGCTCATTCCGCTACTCGAAAAATACAAAAGAAACTGGCCATGGGAGCCACCCGGGAGCCGCTTCACTCGAAAAAAATACAACGGAAACGGCCCCCCAGCGGCCATTAGACGTATGCGTGCTCCCCTGGAACCCCTCCCTAGAGGGCTTCGCCCCACTCAAGAACGTCATCACTCGTACCTCGCTCCTTCCGTTATCCTGAGCGAGCCCCAGGAGGCCCCAAAGAAAGTCCACAAGGCCCGAAAAGGCCCCCCAGGACAGCCCCAAGACGGCCCCAAAGTCCCCCCTCCCCGGTGTTCTCCCAGTGGTTTCCCCAACTGCTCGCTCCACATTTCATGACACGAGTGCTCCCGAAGGCAGGGAGCGGCGGTGACTTGCCAGAGGCGTCTTCTAACCGCCAAAGCGGTCGTCCACAGGCATGGGAGGCGTGCTCGACTTGTCGAACGTCTTTGGGCCCCTCCCAGAACTCCCAGCATGCCCTTCGGCCCGAGCCGCCGGGCCTCGAGTGTCCGCGCCGAGCACCTCCTGGCGCTAGCCCCGCGCCGCCTGCACGAAACGCCCACAAAGCGCACGAAGCATGCCCCCAGGTCCCCCCAGGATCTCCAAGATAGCCCCAGGGAGCGCGCCAACACGGCCCAGGCTGGCCTCCAAGGCGGCCAAGATGGCCCGAGACGGCAACCTTCACGGCTCGAGATAGCCCCAAGAAGGCCAAGAGGCTCTCAAGACGTTCCTAGAGGGCCTCCGAGAGGATCTCAAAAGGCCCCAAAGCTCATTGGCATCGTTTTGTCGTTTTTCCATACCCGCCTTCGGGCTTCGGAACGCCCACGACGGCCAGGTCCCCAATATCGCAGCGAGAGAAACCCAAAAGCGTCCAAGACGGCCCCAAGAGAGTCCCAAGACGGCCAAAGACGGGCCCAGGACGGCCTGAGAGCAAGAGAGCTCCAAGAAGGCCCAGTCAGTAAGGCCCCAAGAGGCTCCAACACGGACTCAACAGACCCTTAAGACTGGATCGAGGGGACCCTGATTGCCCAAGAGCGCCCGAAGACGGTCCAACAGGACCCAAAAATGCCCAGGAAGGCCGCAGGAGCGGCCACGAGGGCCCGAAATCGCCCCAAACAAACGCCCCTAAGACAGCCATTCACTCTGGACCCTATGTGCTCCTCCAGTCGTCCCGATAACACTTCAGGGAAACAGGGTTCAACAACAATCGAGCGAATTTCACGTCGATCTTCTGAGAAGTCTGTTCCGCTTCCAGAGAGGCAGAAGCGGCGGTGATTCGCCAGAGGCGTCTTCGACAACAGGGCGTGCAACGAGGCAACTGGGCAACCAGGCGGCCAAGCTCGCAACGAGCGGGCAGCGCAACGAGACGAGCAGACAACGAGCCAACGAGGCGAAAGCCCAGGGGGGCAGAGAGGCAGCAAGGCTGGCGACGAGCGGCCCACGCACTGAGGCCATGGAAGCACGGGGAACAAGGCAGCCAGCAGTCGTGCTGGCGGACTGGCAGTGCGCGGCGGGGCAACAAACGAAAAGGCAGTGAGGCAGCAAGGCAAGGCGGCCGGCAACGAGCCCGCCACGCAAGCAGGCCACGGGTCGACGAGGCAACAGCACACCGAGGTAACCCAGTTGCGAAACAACGAAGCAGCAGGCAGCGGGGCACCGAGGCAATGTTCTTCCCACTGTACGCAATGAAGCGAAGGAGTCAGCCAGACAATGCGCTGCGAGCTGCGAGGCAACGAGGCTAGAAATGATCAAGCCGCCAGATGAGGCAACCAGGCAACGGGGGACGAGGGCACAGAGGCGATGGGCAATGGGAACGAGGGAACACCGCAAACGGGCAAGCGGGCTGAGAGGAGGCAGGAAGGAAGAGGCAGAGGAGGACGAGAGCAGAATCGGGTGGGAGGAGGAGGACGGTGGCCAGGTCGAAAACGAGGAGAAGCACAAGCACCAGCGGCAGCAGCACCACGACCAGCAGCAGGAGCATACCCTGGCAACACGGGGGGAAGCCAACACGAGGACCAATGACCCAGCCGGCCACGGGGAACCGGCAGCCGTCTCGGCATGGCCATACTTCGCCTCGGCGGGCTGCAGCAAGACAGGGGCCGATCCTCCTCCTCCTCCTCCTCCTCCTCCTCCTCCTCCTCCTCCTCCTCCTCCTCCTCCTCCTCCTCCTCCTCCTCCTCCTCCTCCTCCTCCTCCTCCTCCTCCTCCTCCTCCTCCTCCTCCTCCTCCTCCTCCTCCTCATCATTTTCTTCGTCCTCGTCCCAGGATTCGCCGCTTACTGACCCTGGCAGCCGTCGCGTGTAGTGGGGCAAAAAAACGAAACACCAGCAAGACTGGGAAGCTCCAACGAGTCAAAGCGTGCAGGCTGCAACGGCACCGGACGATGATCTGCCGGCCCCCCTGGCCACGCCAGGCTGCGAAGCTTGCCGCTGGACTGCTGTCGTGTGTTCTGATGATGCCCTTCGCTCTTGCCTCTCGTCTCTCCGGTCCTGCCTGCAGGCTACTGCCTACCGGGGAGGGGGGGGCCTGGTCGCCCAAGAAAGGCTACCGGGGGGGCGTGAGGCCCCTCGAATTCCGCGTCGCCCACGTTGCCCCCAGGCTCCAGTCAGACGCCACCGCACGGCCAGGAGGGCCCAGGACCGCCAAGATTTCCCAAGATTGAAACAACATACTGCGTTCAATGTTCGTTGGTCGTTCCAAGTTTCGCTCATCACGTGTGCAAAGATCACTGAAAGACGGCCCCCAGCCCCCGAGATTGACCAAGACGGCCCCAAACGCCCCAGAACGCCAAATCACCCAGGATGATCCAACAATGCCCCAACATGGCCCCAAGACGCCCACACCACAAGATAGGCCCCAGAGGCCGCTAGAGATCCCCGAGCTTGCCAAAGATGGCCGAAGATGATCCCATGGGCTGGAAGATGCACCCAAGAGGCACCTAGCTCCAAAACTACTACAGTATACCCACAGGATGGCTAGGCCTACAGGGCCAGCAGCAGAGAGCGCATCCTTTCAGATTTTCGTCCAGACTGCAAGCACGTCCAAGAGACGGGTGTGTTGGTATGGTTCCAATATTTCTGAACGCCCATGTGTTCAATTCCCGCCCTAACCCTCCCCGCTGGCTTTACCCGCTGCTGCCAGCCGCCCCCCTCCCCTGAAAGACTTCTTCCAGCGGAGCTCCAGGCGGCTTGTGTGGCTTCAAATTGCGGCCACGAACGAGGGACCGAAGAGGGCCCGAAGGCGGTCCCAAGAGGGCCCAGGGACGGTCCAAGAGGGCCCCAAGACGGCCAAGGATGGGCTCAAGACTGCGCAAGACGCGCGCGCTGCTGATCCCAAACGAGGGCCCAGCTTACACAGGAGGGCTGGGGAACACCTAGCACGCCAGGCGCCAATGTGGCAAGCACAGGGGGGTCTCGGGGGTCCTCGTGCGGCGGGGCTCTACATGTCAGTTCGAGTTGCCCCTGTTGGGCCCCTTTGGTCGTAATTGGGGCCTCTTGCGCAGTCTTTTGATTCCAGTGGGGCCCTTCTGGGCAGTCTTGAAGCAATTTTGTTGGGGGTCTTTCTGGAGGTCTCTTGGGGCGTCTCGGGAGCTGTCGATCGATCGTCTCCATTATGGCCGTTTCTGGGCGCATCGAAACCACTCAATTTCCGCGCTTGACAATCTCCGGACATATTTCCGGAGCCACTGATATCACCAAATGCGACCAACCGTGGGGCGCCCCCCCTCTCCGGCAACCACCCGAACGTGTGAACTTAAAATCAGAAACCACAGCAAAGTCCCATTTCCTTGCGCTGAGCAATGAGAGGACCACAACAACCTTGCTGGCAGGGTTCTCGATGCCCCGCTCCGTCCCCAATTTCCATTAATTCTAAATGCCACCCCTAGAAAACCATGCCGCGTGTGCCTTTCGGCGACGGCCCTCCCGCCGAAGCACGGCAATTTTACGCATGGCACAGCACCGCTCGGCACGGGAGGCCTTGCTGTTTCTTGATCCCATTGTGCCCGGTACTGCGAGCACGTTTCTGACACCGCGTTGTACCTGAAGGAAACGTAGGGCCATCTACAGAAACAGTCGCTTCTGCACCAGCCACATTCGGCACCAACAACGAAGCGCGTTGGCCAAACGAGTCGCCTGTCTGCCGCCCAGGATCCACGACTGACACCGCAGCCCCAGCCAGAGCCGAAGCCCCCACGGAGGAAAGAGCCGAAGCCCCAACCGCCTCCGCGGCGTGATGATCCTGGGAAGGGTGTACACGCCCGCCCCCCAGCATTTCAGACGGCACAGGGGATGGCCAACCGCCATTTGCCCTATGAGCCCTCCGACCTCTACGCACCACATAAGCTCACAAGCCCAATGCACCCTATGACCCTACGCTCCTCACGACCTCATGCGCAATCCAACCCCTACGAGCCCCATGATCCGTATGAACTCATGAACTCTTCGACCCCTCCGAACCCTGTCACCCCTGCGAACCCTCTGAGCCCATGAACCCTGTGTGCCCTCCAAAAGGCACCTCCCCTAGGATGAGACCTCACTCCCAAGCGTCCAGTGGACACGGCAGCATCAGCCCACATGAGCTCGATGGGCCCGTCGAGCTCTGCGAGCACATCGACGTCCTCAATGCCGCGAGCCCCATGGCCCCTGTGAGCCCCAATAACCACTATGAGCCCCATGATCCCCATGGCCCTTTGAGCCCTATGAGCCCTGTGAGCCCTATGCGCACGATGACCCCTCCAGACCCCATAAGCCCCATGACTCCCATGAGCCGTGCGAGCCGCATGACCCCGATGGGCCCTATGAGCCCTATGAGCTCTTGTGGGCCCTCTGAGACCTATGTCCCCTGTGAGCATATGACCTCATGGCCCCCTGAGCCATGTGACCGCGACGAGCCTCATGAGCCCTACGAGCCCAGTGAGCCCTGTGAACCCTGTGTCGCCTATAAGCCTCCTAAGCCCTGCGAGCCGCCCTTTAAGCTCTATCAGCCCCACGGGCCCCACGAGCCGAATGGCCCCAAGGAGCCTGCGACTTCTGTTTGGCCAAGGCCCATACGAGTCCTAGAACCCCAATAAGCTCAACGGCCCGAGGAACCCTTTTCACCCAATCACGCCTGCGGGCCCTCAGAACCTCATGATCCCCATGAGCCGCACTGGCTGAATTGCCCCTCTTCCCAATGAAGGCTCTGAGCCTCTGAGCCCCAATGGCGGCGGAAAAGCCTTTGAGCCCTCTGACCCGGTAGAACCCTGGGTCCTGTCAGCCGCACGTGACCCATGGACCCTGCAGCCGAAGCGCATCGCGATACTAGTGTACCAGTCGCGGCGGGTCTCTCTGGCGCCACGCGATCAAGATGTTTAAGGCGAAGCGAAACGAGTCAGTAAACTATGGTTTATGTATTGGGAGTATGACTTGTAAGTATAAATATGTATGCATACATTGCGTTACACCAAACTGCATTATATACTATGATGTTAAGGTGTACCGTATAATCATGTATGTATGTTATACCCCGTAACATCATATATTACATATATAGGTACTAAGCTTATATGGAATGTATGAAATGCAGTAATAATATATATATATATGCGTGATATCCAATAACATGATATATTCACATGGGTAGGTGATCACATGAAGAATATGTAGGAATGTATATATTGAGTTACAGCAAACTGTAGTATGTGATATGTTGCGCTACAGTACACTGTATACAAGTGTACTCCATATGTCACCGCATGGTATATGTGAATGCTTTACTATAGTATATCAAGGCGAATTCGATAATACTGAAGCGTGATAAGTCATATAATCATGCATTGAGAATGCATACACAAGAGTAGTGTATATATGCTCATATCATATACTGATACATATGGATACATATATATATACGTGTGAATATACACAAACATGCATAAACATATGTATGTATATGTTTACGAATGTGAGCATCTATGAAAATATAGTATCAAATTATAATGTGTTAGAGACTGGTTTGCTATCATGTATGACGTAATACTGCATTGTATGATAATATACTGTATACCAGTACAGTTCAGTATATCATACGATATTATGGTATGTTGACATGTGTGCTAGTATAACGTAGTTTTCTGTGTCATACTAAGCTGTAGTATACTAATCTGATATGATGCACTGCAATGCAATACACTAAATGATAAATTGACTTGCTATATAATACAACACTGCATTGCAATATAACATAATTACTTACAGTACCACCTCTTAGCTTCAACTATATGTGGTACTATAATACATACTATCATATTGCAGTGAGTCGACTGGGAATGTGCTATACTACATGCATACATATATATATAGTATCGGCTGCACCCTTCAGGTGCGGTGGGGCTTATCCCCATCTTGGGGAGGGGCCTGGCGGGGATGAGACACCATGGCCCCGTGGGGATGGGGGTCACTTGAACGATGCTGACCAATGGGAGAGCTCCGCCGCGCAGGGCGCCTGCGCGAGCAGGGGCCGCGCAAAGCCAGCCGGGGGCGTGCCGGGGCCAGCTGAGGCCGACCCGAGCCAAGATGGCCGACGGGGGGCGAACAGGACAACCAGGGCGGAGGAAGAATCGACGAGGCGACGAGGAAGTCGGGGACGAGGGTGAATAACGGACGGGGATGGAGGACGAGGGCGAGGGAAGCAGCCTGGAATGCGAGCATGGAGGTCAGGACGAGGAGGATCCGCCGAGCCCGCTTGCCATGGGCAAGAAGGCGCGAGAGATGTTCGGCTGTACCCCTCCGCCTGGTCCCCCCCCTTCCCTGGAGGTCCAGATTCCCAGCTGAGTGGGACGGGTCCCCCGACGAGCTCCTCCACACTTTTTTGGGCCCATCAGAAACTTCCAGATCGGGCGCCCAAGGCCCAACACACGCCGCCGCTAGCCAAACTGATGAAATCGTTCGGATGTCGCTGATACATTGCATTCCCATTTTTCTGTTCAGGAGGGCCCACGATGGGCTTCAAAGACGTTCGAGCAAGTCCAACAAGCACCCTACACCCCCCTACTGGCCTCTGTGACGGCCCAAGACCGCCCCAAGACGGCAGCACGACCCCATGAAGGCCCCAAAACGAGCCCAAGTGTTCGGGCCCACATACCCTAAATAGCCTCCACAAGTGTTCCATGTGGCACAGAGTCAGCTCCACGATGGCTCAAAAGTCTCCAAGCACCCAGATGGAAAACTCATCCAAACACACCGTCGCGAACTACCTCTGTATGGGGGTCGGCGGACGGGATGGTGTAAGCCAGTTGCATGAAGGAGAAGCAGACGAGGAGGCGAAGGCAGAGAAGATGGAGGAGGAGGAGGAGGAGACGGAAAGGGAAGGTGAACCCAGAAAAACGGCCGAGCTGAATTCAGATTTCGCAGCCCCCCGTACAAGAAAACGTCAATGAGAGCGGCAATGCCCTTGCGATGAACACACACATATATATATATATATATATATATATATATATATATATATGCGTCCTCTACGCCAGGCAGCCCTCGAGCGAGCAGCTTTGGCTGTTGCAGTACTACGCCCCAGCGCTCTGTCAGCACCGGCAGCCTGAAATTTCGACGCATCGTTGCCCACATCTCCACCAACCAAGCCACGAATCGATCCACACCTCTTCTCGTGTTGTCGCGCCGAGCACCACGAAGGAATCTCATGTAGCCTGGCGCTCCGTTTGAGACGAAGATCGGGAGGAGATCGAACCACGTCCAAAACCTCGAACTTGCGCCCAACCTTTTTGGCCCTGTCGTAATGCAGGAGCCCTTCCAAAATCACTTGCTGCCTCACTGCTTCCGTGTCTATCCGGATGCGGTGCTCACAACGTGTGCATTCATCTTCGTACGTACTAGGACGTGCCCCCCAACCGTCATCTCCCCCTCAGCGCCTCCTCCTCCTCCTCCTCCTCCTCCTCCTCCTCCACGCCCCCCGTCAGGAGGAATACCAGCGGCGCGCTCGACCCCTCCCGACGCTGACCTCTCGGTGGAGAGCCCACCGGTCGGCAGCCGGCGGCCGACTGGCTTTTTTTTCCCGTGACCAGGCCAGCAACACTCGACTCTTCCTGCTCCTTCTTCCTCCTCCTTCCTCCTCCTCCTCCTCCTCCTCCTCCTCCTCCTCCTCCTCCTCCTCCTCCTCCTCCTCCTCCTCCTCCTCCCTCCTCCTCCTCCTCCTCCTCCTGCTGCTGATGCTGTTTGTTTTCGTTCACCTTCTACCCCGCCTACCTGTTCTCCTGCTCCCTTTGCCGTGCCCCTGATCCCTGAATCCACGGGCCCCCTCCTCATCCTACTCACACTCCTCTTCGGTACTCGCGTCTCGGCTGTGCGCAAAACTGATCGCGGCCAGCCACAGACGGCAGACAAAAGCAGATGGGTGCCCAGATGTTCCGAATTTTGCCAGCCATGTGTCTCTTCCGCTTCGCGCTTTCCGAACATCAAGCTTGCCTTCGCGACGCGATCGGCCGCTGCGCTGCACGTGCGATCAGCCAGCCACCGGGTCCCACTGGTGTTCTTGATGGCGCGGCCACCGCCGCAGGTTCTGGCAGAGATCACTCCGTTGCTGCACTCCTGTGGGGGGAGTTTTGCGATCGCCTTTTCCACGAGGTGTGCGGAAATGGCGGGTGAGAACTCGAAAACTGACAGCCTCATGCTACGGTGGCTGCGTATCTCTGTTGGCTGGGCCGTCAGCTTCCCGAGCGAGGCGGCGGCCCCGACTCTTCTCAGTCTCGAGGTGCCGCGCGGCCGTCGTGGCCGAGCCGAGGCGGTGCGAGTCTGCCGTAGAGAGCTGCCGCGCCAGTGAACTCACTCGCGCACCCTCCCCCCGCCACTTGAGCTGAAGAGACGCCGAGGGAGCACTTCGACTAGGAACGATCACGCACGGTGGTATACTGAAAAACTCGTCGGCCCATTTTACCGATAATGCCGCCAGCCACTCCCTTTGTCCTCCCCAGTGTTTGAAAATTCCTCCTGCTCCTCCTCTTCAAAGAGCCCACCAGCCCTTTACGGCGTAAGTGGTCAAAGGCGGCTAATCTTCTTCCCGCCCCTTATCCATCGGCGGAAAGTTTACATCTGGTGGGTCGACGAGCAGTAGAGCGTCCAACATGGCAAAAAAAAGCTCCAAGAGAGCCCGAGAGAGCAAAAAACTGTTTCCAAGATGTCCAAACATAGCGTAAGGTCGTTCAAGATGGTTTGCATCACGTTCCAAAACAAGCCGAAACCGCTTTAAGACGGGTCCGAGTGGCCACGGCGCCTGTCAATAACGATCCCGAGAGGGGGCCATGCATTCAAAACCCGCGGAGAAAAATGTGGTTGACCTTCTCGTTCTTTCGCTTTCGATTGGCTCTTCAGGCCTCCAGACAGCTTCAAGATGGTCCAAGAGAGCGCCAAGAGGAGCCCAACAAGGCCCCAAAACGGTCCCAACAGCTCGAAGAGCACTCCAACATGGTCCCAAAATGGTTCCAAGACACGACTTGCGAGGGGGTTCAGCACGGACCGGAATCGTTGAAAAACCATGTAAGGACACGAAAATGTGGCATGTCAGACGGTATCCGCAGGAGGCGGCTGGGCCAACATACTAGCAAAATGGCTTGAAAAAACCATACCCGCCACCGTGCCAATGGGCACGGGGTGGGCGTGACCTCAGGGCCTTGGACCAACACTTTAAGCCTCAGACCTCACGCCTGAAGAATTCGCTGGCCCAACGGGCCAGAGGCGTGCTAAGATCTCCGGTAACAACTTAACAATATGTCTAGTTCGCGCGCGGGGCGGCCCCTGGGGGGCCCATCTCCAGCTCGAGTTAAGTCAGGAAAACCATCACCATCTCCAAAAAAATAGCAGAGTACGAATAGCTGTTCGGCCCCAGTGATGATAGCAGACCGAGTTCAGGCGTCTAGGTGCTTTAAGCTAGCGCGTCTGATGATGTCCTTCCGGTTGCTGTGCCGAACAGCCCTGTAGCTCGTCCGCAACGCCTGTTTTATCGAGAAACCCAATACCATCTCAAAAAAAAAAAGACTACGAATAGCTGTTCGGCCCCAGTGATGATAGCAGACCGAGTTCAGGCGTCTAGGTGCTTTAAGCTAGCGCGTCTGATGATGTCCTTCCGGTTCCTGTGCCGAAGAGTTCTGTAGCTCATATGCAGCTCGAGTTAAGTCAAGAAACTCATCATCATCTCCAAAAAAAATAACAGAGCACGAATAGTTTTTCAGACCCCGCGCTGATAACAGACCGAGTTCAGGCGTCTAAATACTTTAAACTACCGCGCCTGATGAGGTTCTTCCTATTGCTGTGCCGAACAGCTCTGTAGCTCATCTGCAGCTCGAGTTAAGTCAAGAAAACCATCACCATCTCTAACAAATTAGCAAAGTACGAATATGTGTTCAGCCCCAGCGCTGATAGCAAACCGAGTTCAGGCGTCAAAAAACTTTGAACTGGCGCACCTGATGATTTCCGTCCGATTGCTGTGCCGAACAGCTCTGTTGCTCATCTGCAGCTCGAATTGAGTCAGGAAAACCATCACCATCTCTAAGAAATCAACAGAGTACGAACAGTTGTTCGGCTCCAGCGCTGATAGCAGACCGCGTTCAGGCGTCTAGATACTTTAAACTAGCGCATATGTTGAGGTTCTTCCCATTGCTGTGCCGAACAGCTATGTAGCTCATCTGCAGCTCGAGTTAGGTCAACAAAAACAATACCATCTCCCAAAAAATAGCAGAATACAAATATTTGTTCAGCCCCAGCGCTGATAGCAGACCAAGTTCAGGCGTCTAGATACTTCGAACTAGCGCGCCTCATGATTTCCTTCCGGTTGCTGTGCCGAACAACTCGATAGCTGCAGCTCGAGTTAAGTCAAGAAAACCATCACCATCTCCAAAAAAAAGCAGATTACGAATAGCTGTTCGGCCCCAGTGATGATAGCAGGCCGAGTTCAGGCGTCTAGATACTTTAAACTAGCGCGCCTGATGATTTCCTTCCGGCTGCTGTGCCGAACAGATCTGAACTCGTCTGCAGCTCGAGTTTAGTCAAGAAACTGATCATCATCTCGAAAGAAAAACTAGTAGAGTACAAATAGCTTCGCGGACCTAGCTCTGGTAGCAGACCGAGTTCAGACATCTACCTGCTTGAGACTTACGCGTCTGACGATTCTAGATCGTATAGGTGTGCCTACCAGCTCTGCAGCTATTCTGCAGCTCGAGTCAAGTACAAGAAACCGACAGCACCTGCTAAGATGACACAAAGCAGCCGATCCCGCCTTGCTTTTTGGCAGTAAAATGTACCCAATCGAGCTGAGATTCAGACGGCGAGCGGGAATGATATCGAAGATCAGGATGAAAAATACTACAGCTCTAACGACTGTTCAAATTTCGAGAAAAACATCGAATATAAACCAACCGAATTTATGCAAAACTTCCGTCGGGATTTTTTGACAACTAGCCCCCCAGCGCGCCAGAATTACTCTTCCTTCGCCGCTAACGCTCTTAGAGAAGCTCTATGAGTCACTAGCTGCACCCCGCGCCGGAATTCCTCTAGCTCATCGA